ATAATGACCATAGATTTAATATTGTATATCAGCAACTACTTCTCTATTGCCATGTTAGATAAGGGTACTTAAATGGGCAAGCTCTAACATTTTGAAATTTTTTGAAAAACTGAATTTAAACTTTTTTGTTGCTTTATTTTATTATATGTATAGATATGGAATATTATTTACTTAGTAGATGCCTCCATGCCCCGGTGGTGTAGTGGCTAGCATGTACGGCTGCACACTCGGAGGTCCTGGGTTCGAGTCCCGGGTCGAGCCAAGTTTAGTTATTGAGTCTTTCTGTATAATAAGTCTCAGTAACAGCCCGGAGTTGGGAAGTTGGCGGTGTTATTCCCCCGTGCCTCGGAGAGCACGTAAAGCCCGTCGGTCCTGCGCCTTAACTCTCACTGGTCGTGTCGAGCAGTCGTCCCACCGGAGTATGAGAGTGACAGGAATAGAGAGTGCACGTTGTGTCTGCGCGTACACTTGTGCACTATAATATCTCCTGCGCAGTCTCAATGATCGGCCGCCATAGCCGGAATCGGCTAGGAGAACATCATCATCATCATATTTAGTTAGCTGTTATTATTATAATTATTACAATTTTAAAATATTAATTAGTATTCTATATTTAATGTTGCCATTATTATATTTATAACCATAAAGAAAAATATAAAATATAGTAATAATTATTTAAGCCATATAATTGTTCTATGTGTAATTTAAAAAGTTAAAATTAATTAAGGATAATAATTTTAATTTAGTTTGCTATTATTTAAAAAGACAAATTACTAAGCAACTTTTTACTTTTCTTTCGCGAGGATTTGAGGTCTATTGAAGCGAATATAATGGCTTGGGCAATCCTGGCTATAATATGCATATATAACATATAATGCATAAATATTTTAAAAACTAACATCAACAGTAAAGAAAAGCAACAGTTTGTAAAAGTTACTTACTTCTTTGAGACATTTAAAAATAACCATTTTCACATTTTAAGGTGTCTGCCCACTACACCACCTCATGTCATGGCCGTGCCAGGAAAAAAGAATATACTTTGTATTGAAAAATATAAGTAGCCCAAATGACCACCATGACAAGTTGAACGCACTTTGGGGGAAACTTTATGATTCTATAGTCTGATTTTTAATTCCACGGAATGCTGACATTTCAGAAGTGTTGTCAACTTTGAAACATTGGCACTAAAAACGGAAAGTATTTTAGCAAAATATATTATTTTTTATAAACCTTTCTTGAAGTCAAGGTTTCAATTAGAAAAACTAAGACTTAAAAAATTATTGATAACTCTAAAATGGTAATTATTATTTTATTATCATATTATTGAAGTTACAATAATTATTAAGGAAATTATTTGAAATTATTTTTCTATTACAGGAATCCCTGTCCAATAATCCATAGGTTGGAAGCCTTTTTTAGTAAAACCCCTTTGTTTGAAAAATATTTTGTTTTACTCTGTTTTATTCATTTAACCATTAAAAATTTACATTATAGTAGGTGTGCATTGGTTGCATAAAACAAAGACTATTTACAATGTCATACATATAGTTTACTTGATCTAATTTTGTTTCATATTTTTTGTTATTTTCCGTGGAATTCAAAATCATACTTTAGATCAACCCAAAAAAGAATGTAATGAATTTTAATGTTATCTTAATCTTTAATCAGTATAAGTTTGTAGTTTGCTATTGGATGTATCTCTAGGATGAAATAATAAAAAAAATTAAAAGATACAACAAAGTTTAGATGAAAAATATTTTAACACTTTGTATGTTTAAAGTAGTAAAATTTGTGGACTTAATTTACAAATACTTCTACATATAGCAAAACTTCAAAAATATTTATTAGTTATGCATTTGAAATAAAAAGTATGAAAAATTATAATTATTAGTAATTCTTGAACTATAATGGGGTATATTCGTATTTTAAGTTGAGATTTAAATAATCATATTTTTTTATCCCATCGCATTATCCCATTAATATTATTTATGCAAACATGGATGGATGTTTGTTTCTCAATCACGCCAGAATGGCTGAACAGATCTGGATGAAATTTGGAACAGGGATAAAATATAGTCTGAAATAGTACATAGGTTACGTTTTATCCTGGAAAAACATTCCGTTCCTGTGGGATGGGTTCTTTGTTTTTCACCGAGCAAGGGATCGACTATCTATTCCATACTAAATGTTAAAATGTACTTAGGGATTTTAGGTGAGTCTCTAACAGTATATATTGCATACCCTGCAAGGGACGTGCATGTGTGAAATATTATTATATCTATTAGGTTTATGTGTGAAACATATATAATTTTTGATGTATTCTCACATGTTGGCTTAACTAAAAGAAATCTCATAATAAGAAGTGGCCAAAAGCATGTTTTGTAATATTTTTAATGGAAAATTGTAATTATTTTATTTTAATGAGTGTTATGAATATATATTACTATTCACACAGAAAAAAGTAAAAGCAAAAGTCAATTAACATATATAATAAAGAAAAACCTACTCTACTGATTACAAAAATATTCTTCTTCCAAAAATTTTAATAACTTTATTATTTATATTCATTAAGTGTAATTCTTATTTACACTTCTATTTGATTAAACGAAATATCTTTTTAATTACCTAATTTTGCGTTTTTGTAATCACTGAACAAATTAAAAAGGAAAGTATCACGTTATATTATTCAGTACATAAAATATTTTATGATGTTACGTAAAACTACTTGCATATTGTAAAATCTATCTAAATGTATCTATCATTTTTTACTAAAGTATTACAGTAAAATAATAAAATACAATACCAATCTATGATCGATCATGAATTCAGACACATTTTAAAAATTGTTTCGTATTTCTTTTCATTGTAGATTTAACAAATAATAAATTATAAACATGATATAAAAACATAATAAATACACGGAATCCAAAAAAGAGATCCCTGTTTCACTTAGTATTTAGTAATGAAGTCGTCCGCCTACAATTTCCTACGTAGTCTCAGCAGCATGTCTTATATTTAAATTGCGTAAATATTAAAAGCAAATAAACACTTACCGAAAGTCTCATGTATCACAACTGAATAATTATTCTTCAAAAAGCTTAATTCATTATTTAATTATGCGTTCACAGCACTCAGAAAAATTATTGATAGTCATAAACACAACATATACGTCACTCGCAAATGTCCGCCATTTTATAAATTTATTTTTATGTCATTGAGTATATTCTTCGAACAGATTATAATTTGTACAAAATAATGCTAACATACAGTTTATATTTCACTATAACCACAAACTATATAGAAATTCTTTGCATACTATCACTAACTAAACAAACATTAAAATATATATATAATATTGAATTTAATTTTAAATACATCCCCAATACCTACATTTGTATATTTTTTTTAAAACGATTAATATTATAGTACAACCAACTTATTAGTTATTACGCTACATTTACACGCTTGGCAAGTCTCGAGATTCGACAAGCGTCAACACACGACGATTTACAATAACATATTCGTTATTTATAAAAACATAATTTAAAACATCCTTTTATTTTTCCATCACACTAAAATTAATAAATGCAAAGTAATGTTTATAAATTGATTAAATTCATGAGTAAAATACTAAACAGATTTCGATAAAAATTGTCTTAAGCTATGAAGCTATGCTGCTATGTAGTAGACGAATGTACAGCTTTTATGACTCCTAGTATTAGTTACCCACACAACACCCGTATTATAATTTATTAATTCTCAAAATTCCTAAAATAAATTAGTTGTGGCATCTCAGAACTTTCTGTCAATATCATGGAACATTAGTTTTACTTATGTTATTTAATTTCAAACTTGTCAATACATGACTATGTGCAATTCTAAAAAAAGTAAAACGCGTTTCCTCGAGGAAGCCGCGTGCAAAAACTAGTATTAATATGATGATGATGTTCTCCTAGCCGACTCCGGCTACGGCGGCCAATCTCATTGAGATTAGCCAACTGCGCAGGAGATATTATAGTGCACAAGTGTAGGCGCAGACACAATGTGCACTCTCTATTCCTGTCACTCTCATACTCCGGTGGGACGACTGCTCGATACGACCAGTGAGAGTTAAGGCGCCTAGGACCGACGGCTTTACGTGCTCTAGCCGAGGCACGTGGGTGAAACACCGCTAACTTCCCAACTCCCGGCTGTTACTGAGGTTTACTATACAGAAAGACTCAATAACTAAACTTGGCCCGACCCGGGACTCGAACCCTGGACCTTCGAGTGTCCAGCCGTACATGCTAGCCACTACACCACCGAGGCAGCATCGACTGAAATAGACGCACACGGAATAAATACGACTCGAGTCGACTCGCCTCGCTTAAAGGATAAAGATAGATTTGGATAACCTGTGGAAATGGACAAATTATGAAATGGTTAATACTTTAAAACAGGGATGACAGCTTCAAAAGAGAAATATTGACTACAGCTTGACCAATATAGCAACAATTCTTGTCATATAACTATCTTAAAGTTTTGACTTTCTTTATCCTGCATGGCTTTTTACTAAGCTTTATGCCAACGCGCAACGGCCTGATTCCTAAATGACATTAAAAGAGTTATATTTTACCTTATATTATTTATTAGTGTTTACTCCACCTTTATCCTAACTTCAGATTATCTATCGTTTTAACCATAGAGTAAAATTTATTTACTATGTGTATTATCCTTTATCTGTACCATTATGATTTATGTCATGGATGACAAATAAAAATTTATGTCTTGTTCTTTAATCTGTGATGTTTACCATTATGTTAAAATTTAAATGATTATAGCTTTTATGTCATCCATGCTTATAATATTTTTTTACAGCTGTTTTAACTTCAAAGTGATAATATTTGACAAAATTAGAAATTAAACCTTAAAGTAATATATGTAAGAACTTTCGCTTTGTTCTATATAGTTAATTCATAATGTCTTTAGGCCAAGAAAAAAAATTTTTTCCTTTAGAAAATATGATAAAGAAATGGAGAGCGTATAGTAATACAAAATCAATTAGATACGGTTTGCCATTTGTTATATTTATCATAGGAGGATCATTTGGTTTACGAGAATGGACACAGATAAGGTATACAGTAAAATATTACAACAAATAGTATTTTTATTTTTATAACTTCTTGGATGAGGCACAGTATCTGCACCTGATTGTACTTAATAATTATCAATTATGATATGACAATTTCAAGTTAAATCAAAAACATTAATATATATTGTTATGTAAGTATGTATACTTACATATATCCTTTGGTAGTCACTTTTCAGTTTTCATTTCATTTTTATCTTGAATAAAAAGTCTGTGTCACTCTCGGGCCTCTATACAAATATCAAATCGATCAGTCTGTCTGTGAAATAAATGTATGAATAAAAGGAAAATCATTTGAATATATTACACATAATTACTTATTTATACAAAATCTTTAGTTTACTTTTGTATTTATTATGAATTTGGTATTTGAAAGAGAAACCATTGAAAAGTTTTAACACCTTTTTATTCATTGTCTCAATATGAATGAAAATAGAAGAATAGTATCCAAAAGACATGAGTTATTTGTCTGATCAAGTCCAAGTTTATTTTGTAAATAAAGATATATGGATTAAAATTAATGGATAATTTTTGTACTTTTTCAGATATCAATTTTCGAATGTTAAAGGTGTTACCAAGGATGAAGCTGAAAAAATGGGTCTACATAGAGAGAGAAATGTTACTTTAGAAGAAGCATATGAAGAAATTAAAAGTCTAGATATTGACAATTGGGAAAATAAAAGGGGACCTAGACCATGGGAACAAAATATAGAGGAAACAAAATAACTTTTCTGTAGAAATGAAATGTTTGTGTAAATAAGTAGATGATTTCAATGTTTGTAGATTTAAATAAATTTAAATATTTATTGTAATTACTCTTTTTATTAATTCGTTGTTTATCTGATAGAGAATTATCTTGATGTTTGTCATGGAATAGTGTGGGATTAACAACTATCTAACTTCTACAAGGACTATAAATATAGATAAGAAGTGTCAAGTGGGGATTGAAAATTGTATGGTTTAAGTGCGTTTTAAAATAATATAATGAAAAGATTTTCTCATCACAATTGATCTTACTCATTTTATAGACTTACTAGCAATACCCGGGGCTTCGCCCGCGTCCAAACTACCGTTCGCTAACAAAATTCACAGGATCTCCCGCTGGACTAATCTGAAGATTACCTAAAAATTTCATCAAAATTGCTCCAGCTGTTTTGGAGTCCATAGGAATAGGAAACTATTAATAAGTATATGTGTAAGTTAATATATGTATAAGTTTCCTTAATAATGACTAACTCTGGAACCATTCACTTTAGCAAGATTATGAACGGAACCATTTTTGTTCACAATTTATTGTAGATTATTTTTGTATATGACACTGTTTGCGCTAAATCGCATAATTTTCGAAATTTTTAAGAAAAACTGATGAAATCTACTAATTTACCAACTTATAATCCCTTCCCACCTCAAACCCGACGCTCAAAATGGTATAACTATTTACCAAACAATATGTGGACTGTATAGAACAATTTGGAGCTAGAGGGAAACTTACTTTGGATGTTAAGGTTAGGCTGTTTTTTAATTTAATTGCACTGTACTATTGAAGTTTCGGTACACATATTTAACAATTTGTTATCTTAAATTATTATTAAACTTAATTTGTTATATTTTTGTGATCGCCTTTTACAAGCATTCATTTTCATATCACAATCGATAGGCTTGGGAGAGAAAAACTTTTTAGAGACACGAATCTAGTTATCAAAATCGGTTAAGTCGTTCAATAATTACGATACATACGGACATACATACATACAGATCAAATGTTTCGCCGCAGCTGGGTAAAAATGATTTTCAATGCTTTTCAGCTTAAAGCTATATATTACTAACGACTCACCCTCGCCTTGTTCGTCCCTAGACAAAAACAAATCTGTCCCACGGGAACCGTACATTTATCGGGATTTATGGTCTTCCTCAATAAGCAGGCTATCTAATGCAAAAAGTTTTTTTTTAAATCGGATTAGTAGTTCCTGACATTAGCGCGTTCAAACAAACAAACTCAGTCTCTTTATAATATTAGAATAGATTAGTACACATTAATCATTATATCTGGTTGTTGACCTCCTAACTAGGTTGCTTCTTTTAAAAGTGACTAGCGGCTCATTGTCGCTTCGCCTGGGGGTGCCTCTAGAAAAGCACAAACAGATCTATCCCACGGGAACCGTTCATTTTTCCGGGAAAAAAAGTAACCTGTTGTTTGACCGCCAATATAAGGTATCAGCATGCCAAATTTTACTAAGTAAGGCGTATAAGTTGTTGTGTATTAAGCTGTATAAGTTACTACAGTTTTTTAACTATCCCACGGGAGCTCTTTAATTTTCCTGGTCTAACAGTTTCGGAAATTAGCCCGTACAACAAACAGAGAAACAAAAAAATTGAAAACATCTGGATTTTTCTATTTATCTTTTAACATCCCATGTCTCGGTGACCGGTGTTGGCTGGTCTCAGTCAGGACTCGGACCAATAAAATAAGTACTTTTTTATTGGACTGAGGCACAGACATTCGACCTCTACAGTTTTATTATATATATATAGATATAGATAACATGGTCGTCGTCCTCAATAAAGGTAGAATGTCCTCTCTTTAATAATGAAAACATAATATCTACTCTTATATTTAAAATGCATTTACTTATTATACATATACTAATGGTAGTTATTAGCCAATACTCAATAGCAATTAAAGTTTAAACAAAGAAATATCAATATTTCATCACATTGCAAAATGCAAAGTAAGAATTAAGCTATTATGTAGGTTAGTTCTTTACATAGAATATATTGCTACATATATAAAATTCTTTATAAGAAATAAGAATGACTAATATAATATTGTTTTGTGTTTTCTTGTAATTTCTAGTTTCTACGTCGCATTAAAAGCTACGTCATTTTGCGGACATTCTAGAATAAAATATATTGCTATCGCGTTATTTTCTAAGCTTGAGAAAGAGACAGAGCTAAATATCGGTGAACTTCGTTCGTAGTTCGTACGCAGTAGTCAAAATATTGATCGCTGTAGTTGCGTGTATATAAATAATCAACCACCATTTGCGCAAGTCATTTCAAAGAAAAATTTACAATAAGAAGGAAGTGATTCGTGGATCGTTATTAATCTAAAGTTGAATATAAAGGAGATTATTTTGGAATTAAGTGTTTAACTAAATAATCGGTAAGCTATATTCTAAAATAACTAATTATTACGTTGTACTCTTATTTTATCCTAAAAGATGATAATTCATGCGTGTTAAACATTATCGCCAATCGCCATCTTGTTAAGGTATAAATTATAATTTATAATATAGGGATCATGATTCGACAAGTCTTAACATAATAAATAATGATTTATAAAAACTTAATGTAATAATAATTAATTTATGTAAATATATTTTAAGCGAAAATGACACTTTCCTACAATTTTTTTAATAGGTGTGTCTACTGTCTATTTGTCAGACTTGTTGGTGTGGGATTTATACCTATATTGCGACTACGGTCTGCGATTATTTTAAATATTTCTATTAAGACTATCTAACTTATCAAGTTATATAGATTTTTAATAATATCTATAATAAACTTAAGTTTCGATGATCGAATGAATATAAATAAAAAATCAATAGGTTAGAATTATCTGGTTTTAATGTGACGCAGTACTTATTATTCTAAAATGCATTTTTAGCTGCGTAGGTTCATTCGAGCGTTTTTCCTTTCTTAAACATACAAACTTAACTTGAAAATCATTGGGATCTATATGAATAAATTTTCAACATTGTAGGTTATGATTATTTATTTTGTGCATATAACTTCTGCACCTAAAAATCACTTATTTTGCAATTTAAATTACAAAACATAAATGTGGTTGGTTTTCGTACAAACTGACATTATTTATTATACCTATAAACATTTTGTAAGTTAATAATAAAAAATAATCCTTTGTTACAGATTCATCATGCAAATATTTGTAAAGACTTTGACTGGAAAAACTATAACCTTGGAGGTTGAGCCCTCTGATACAATTGAAAATGTAAAAGCAAAAATTCAGGACAAGGAAGGCATACCCCCAGACCAGCAGAGACTTATCTTTGCTGGCAAGCAGCTGGAGGATGGACGCACTCTGTCAGACTATAACATTCAGAAAGAATCCACCTTGCACTTGGTGCTCCGTCTCAGAGGTGGTATGCAGATTTTTGTGAAGACGCTGACTGGCAAGACTATCACATTAGAAGTTGAGCCTTCTGATACTATTGAAAATGTGAAGGCGAAAATCCAGGACAAGGAAGGCATTCCTCCAGACCAGCAGAGACTTATCTTTGCCGGCAAGCAGCTGGAGGATGGACGCACTCTGTCAGACTATAACATTCAGAAAGAATCCACCTTGCACTTGGTGCTCCGTCTCAGAGGTGGTATGCAAATATTTGTGAAGACACTGACAGGCAAGACTATCACATTAGAAGTTGAAGCTTCTGATACCATTGAAAACGTGAAGGCAAAAATCCAGGACAAGGAAGGCATTCCTCCAGACCAGCAGAGACTTATTTTTGCTGGCAAGCAGCTGGAGGATGGACGCACTCTGTCAGACTATAACATTCAGAAAGAATCTACCTTGCACTTGGTGCTCCGTCTCAGAGGTGGTATGCAGATATTTGTGAAAACACTGACAGGCAAGACTATCACATTAGAAGTTGAAGCTTCTGACACCATTGAAAACGTGAAGGCGAAGATCCAGGATAAGGAAGGCATTCCCCCAGATCAGCAGAGACTTATCTTTGCAGGCAAGCAGCTGGAGGATGGACGCACTCTGTCAGACTATAACATTCAGAAAGAGTCCACCTTGCACTTGGTGCTCCGTCTCAGAGGTGGTATGCAGATTCTGATATTGAAAACGGAAGGCGAAAATCCAGGACAAGGAAGGCATTCCCCCAGATCAGCAGAGACTTATCTTTGCAGGCAAGCAGCTGGAGGATGGACGCACTCTGTCAGACTATAACATTCAGAAAGAATCTACCTTGCACTTGGTGCTCCGTCTTAGAGGTGGTATGCAGATTTTCGTAAAGACACTGACGGGCAAGACTATCACATTAGAAGTTGAGCCTTCTGACACTATTGAAAACGTGAAGGCGAAAATCCAGGACAAGGAAGGCATTCCCCCAGACCAGCAGAGACTTATCTTTGCCGGCAAGCAGCTGGAGGATGGACGCACTCTGTCAGACTATAACATTCAGAAAGAATCCACCTTGCACTTGGTGCTCCGTCTCAGAGGTGGTATGCAGATTTTTGTGAAGACACTGACTGGCAAGACTATCACATTAGAAGTGGAAGCTTCTGACACCATTGAAAACGTGAAGGCGAAGATCCAGGACAAGGAAGGCATTCCTCCAGACCAGCAGAGACTTATTTTTGCTGGCAAGCAGCTAGAGGATGGACGCACTCTGTCAGACTATAACATTCAGAAAGAGTCCACCTTGCACTTGGTGCTCCGTCTCAGAGGTGGTATGCAGATTTTCGTAAAGACACTGACGGGCAAGACTATCACATTAGAAGTTGAAGCTTCTGACACCATTGAAAATGTGAAGGCAAAAATCCAGGACAAAGAAGGCATTCCCCCAGACCAGCAGAGGCTTATCTTTGCTGGCAAGCAGCTGGAGGATGGACGCACTCTGTCAGACTATAACATTCAGAAAGAATCCACCTTGCACTTGGTGCTCCGTCTCAGAGGTGGTATGCAGATTTTTGTGAAGACGCTGACTGGCAAGACTATCACATTAGAAGTTGAGCCTTCTGATACTATTGAAAACGTGAAGGCGAAGATCCAGGACAAGGAAGGCATTCCCCCAGACCAGCAGAGACTTATTTTTGCCGGCAAGCAGCTGGAGGATGGACGCACTCTGTCAGACTATAACATTCAGAAAGAGTCCACCTTGCACTTGGTGCTCCGTCTCAGAGGTGGTATGCAGATTTTCGTAAAGACACTGACGGGCAAGACTATCACATTAGAAGTTGAAGCTTCTGACACCATTGAAAACGTGAAGGCGAAGATCCAGGATAAGGAAGGCATTCCCCCAGATCAGCAGAGACTTATCTTTGCTGGCAAGCAGCTGGAGGATGGACGCACTCTGTCAGACTACAACATTCAGAAAGAATCCACTTTGCACTTGGTGCTCACCGTCTCAGAGGTGGTATGCAGATTTTTGTGAGACGCGGACTGCACAAGACTATCACATTAGAAGTTGAGCCTTCTGATACTATTGAAAACGTGAAGGCGAAGATCCAGGACAAAGGAAGGCATTCTCCCCCAGACCAGCAGAGACTATTTTTGCAGGCAAGCAGCTGGAGGATGGACGCACTCTGTCAGACTATAATCATTTCAGAAAGAGTCCACCTTGCACTTGGGCTCCGTCTCAGGGTGGTATGCAGATTTTCGTTAAGACACTGAGAGGCAAGACTATCACATTAGAAGTTGAAGCTTCTGACACCATTGAAAATGTGAAGGCAAAAATCCAGGACAAAGAAGGCATTCCCCCAGACCAGCAGAGGCTTATCTTTGCTGGCAAGCAGCTGGAGGATGGACGCACTCTGTCAGATTATAATATTCAGAAAGAATCTACTTTGCATCTTGTACTAAGACTGAGAGGCGGCTCATAAGATCTCTTAAAATTTTAATCTATCTTCTAAAATAAAAATTCTTAATCTGCAAATGTTGTTGTGTTTAATTCCAAAAACAATGCTATATTTTTTACTAGCGACTCGGACCTCTGTTCACTTGTGTGCGTCTCTAGGTGCTGTCTATTTGGTACACCAGGTTATACTATGCACAGAAATAAATTTCATCTAAATCGGTTTAATCATTTCTGCATAAAATAACAAACATACACATACAAACTCACATTTATAATAGTTTGGTTTAAAATTTAGTTTTTTAAATTTTGATTAATACACTTAATTTATATGTATTTACAAGTATGTAATTCTATCTTTACTTTCTTAGCCTTGTAAAATTCCGTAAAGTCGAGATTAGCGTATCAAGCATATTACGATGCGAATTTAGGTAATATATTATGTATAATATACTATGGAAAGACTAGTAGGGTCGCAGGCAAAAGCTAGTAATGTTTGCGTTTTTATATCTATACGTTAAGTAAAAACTTTGTACCTACCCCTTTTTACGAAAATTGCGCGGACGGAGGAGTATGAAATGCCACACATTTATAGTTTATTATTTATATAGAGGAGGAGTGCAGAATTCTAATAATATTTTAAATTATTAAAAAATACATTAATAAAAAAACAACACACATTACCCTGTATTTGCCACACAAACACGCGCATATAAATACACTTATTTACTGTTAAATTCTGGTCAAATTATTGAGAAAGCTAATATTTTTATATAAAATACACTAGCATTGCCCACGGCTCCGCCCGCGATCAGATGACCAAAAACCAAATAGATTTTACATATTACTCTTACATTGCAGTTTTTGTATTTTTTCTCAGAAATGAGACATTTTCCCGCGGTAAAAAGTATCCTTTATGTCGACCCGGATAACTTCGGAACTAACGGAAAACTATAGATTCGGCCTCTGTATCGATAATAATGACTATTTCAATAAGATTTTCCAAAAAATATTTAATGTACAGATTCGGCTTAGTTACAATTTTATTACATATATGTATAGATTTGCTTTGCACCGGCTGGTACCGACTTTGGAAATATCTGATTAGGTGTGAATTCTAAAGTTTTGGTCGGTCAGAAGTCTCTTTAAGTTTTTATTTTTCCATTTTTAGTGTAGAACGTAATATGCAGGTATAGGAATGTTATGGAAATTATATTTGAAAATATATCTATAACGGGATACTTGCGAGATACTTCACTATAGTTAAAAATATTGTAAATTATCGTTCCTACAAGAACTATGTGTAACAAAAAAGTTATAAACAGTTCAGCTGACGGTAGTTAAACGGCCAAGCCACATATTTTGACTAAGGTGTACAGTTTGTGGAGTCAAAGCCTGTAAAGTTAGGGCCGGCGCTGCCAATTGGCCGGTAAATTACCCGAAAAGCGGGTAATTATAGATCTCATGTAGAGCTAGAAGCTTGCTCTACATGAGATCTGATAACTTTTGGACAGTGCGAGCCATATGGTCTCGTCTTGGCAACATTTTACATGAAAATGTTTTTGGTGGGACTTAAACTATATACAGATGTAAATTTTCTTGGATTACGGTAGATAAAATTGAGAAACATAAAACATGTACGGATAGTTTTATTGATATGGCTTGTAAATTTCATTTCAGAAACTATTATAACACCAAGATCCTTAACTTCATTTATTTCTTTTAAGGCTGCTACACACAAAAACAAACAAGGCAAAAGGACCACCGGCTTTTGCCGATCGTATCGATGATTGTTATTTTAATTAAATTTTAAATAAAATGAAAAAAAGACTTCGTCCACGCTGTAGAGCTTTACGAAATACTGACGGCCATAGTGATTGCGACATCTGGCGGGAGAAAAAGGCAAATTTCTATCCCCATTTAATAAAAACGACCGTATTATTTTTTTACAGTCTTAGTATATTTTTATACTTTTTTTATACGTTCATTTATATTGTAATACTTTGATTTAAAACGATTTATTTTTGTGTAGTGATTTATGGACACATTAGTAGAACCATAGACTACTATAATACACTGAGTAGAACTGCCAAATTGAGATTTTAGTTGTCAATTGTCATTTGTCTTTTGTCACGGAAGGATGAAAAATAAATCACAAATCCTACTCAGTTCTTTAAAACCAATATTCTATTTATGATTTTTAAATTTTAATTGATGTCGCGAATAAAATAGTTACAATGATATCAGGACATTTAATAACAGCTGCTATATTAATATTTTTTCTTGTTTATCTGGCGGATTGTGAGTGTTTTTTTATTAGAATATAAAATTATGTTTAGGTTTTTATTAACAATTTTAAAAATATGTTTTTAAATTTTAGGTTCCATACATAAAAATTTAAAATATTTTGAAACACTTCATGTTTCAAAATTCACTCACCATGTTGTAAAACGTGGTGCTAAGTTATCAAACCACCCTTTTAACACCATCAAAGAGCTACACTTCCAAACACTTGGCAAAGATTTTAGGCTAATCCTACATCCTCATAACACAGTCCTTCACTCAAACTTTAAGGCATATTCTGTAGATGCCAATGGAAATAAAACGGTTGTGCATATAGGTAAGTTTCTAAATTACATAGTTGATATAAAAATTTGTTCATGCATTGTTTTTAAATCTATATGTACCTATAGAAGCTAAAGAATTGAGAAGAACTCAACTAAAACACATCTAAAATGTTGAAATGTAAAGCTAGATAAATAAGGAAATAAGAAAGATTAAGGTTAAAACCTAATAATATGTAAATATGTATATCAAACTAAAAATTAAAAGTATTAAAATATTACAATTCTTACAAAACCATGTTATATTTGAAATAATATCACACATATATGGTAGATATAAGCTGTATGTTAAAAACGGAGGGGATGGAAATATAAGTACATATATACAAATAAAAAAAAAAATCTATAAAAAATTGTGATATAGCACTAAAGAATTCAAAAATGTAATGATTTAAATCGTCAAAATAACAATTTTAGTAGACAATAGTACAATGTTAATAGGCATTATATAATATGTAAATAAAATCAAAGCTTCAATAAGGGCTTATGAACTTTCTTTGTGTTCGATGAGGAGTTTAAATTTTTCTGGAAAGTAACTAGCATAAAAAATTACAAAATAATTTATGGTTAAACTATTGAATTGCATGGCGGGCTATTAAGATGGGGGAAGCTTTTGTTGGGTTTTAGTGGGTAGTACTGGCTTTGCCGGTGAGTCCCACACCTTGTGCTTTTCTTCTTTATGATCCGCCACATCTCTAGTATGTATTGTCAATTCACAGTGTGAACATTATCAAAAGCTGACACTTCTAGTATTTTCAACTGACTTCCTCAAAAAGGAGGAGGTTTTCAGTTCGGCTGTATTTTTTTTTATGTATGTTACCTCAGAACTCCGTCATTTATTAACTAAATTTGGACAATTTTTGTTTTGTTTCAAAGTGTATACTTCCAGATTGTCCCATTTAAATTTCAAAAAAAAAATACCACCTCTAAGGGTGGAAAAATAGCTAATGATGAATTTAACCTACCTCTAATTGTCATATTGACTTGAAACTTTGCAAGTATTTCTATTTCCGTTGATAGTACAGTGGTTCGGTATTGTTGCCCTGATCTGATGGCAAGGTCAGAAGGTGGATAGGTGGAACTCTTCAACGGCTAATAGTAGATACTTTGAGTATGGGCTTATTTTGTTTGATTTGACAAGCCTATCACGTTAAAATCCTTACTTTGCTACTACTGTCTACACTAAAAAGGGAAAAAATACAAACTTTTTAACAAAATTTCAAAGTTGGTGCCAGCCGATACAAAGCAAAGCACACCGACTTCGAAAATATTTGATTAGGTATGTATAGTTAATGAAAACTACCAATCAGTTATTGCTTTTGTTTGAAGTCGATTTTTATTTTCTTGTTAAAAAGTTTTTATTTAAGAGTAAGTAGGTACTTAATGAAAGTGAGCACAACCAAAAAAATATTTTATTCATATTTCAAATATACAAGTAGATTTTTTATCAGCACTTGTTTTTGAGTTACTTAGCATAGAAAAGCGAAAATATTTATTTAGGTACTTAGAAAAACATCAAAAGTTTAGAAGAAACTAAAATTATGGAGTTCTAATAACATTGCTCTAAGTTCGTTTTTTTATGTGTATGTAGACTTAAAGATGTTGCTACAGGGATCAGCAATAGTCAATCAACAGAAAGTTATAGCAAAAAAACATATAGCAGTATAGTTGTATATAAATAACTTAGGATTTAATTGCTTTGTTCAGATTATGATAATTTTTACACTGGAAGAGTCTTTGGTGAGAAGTCATCAGATGTGAAGATGCATATAGAGGATGGAGTAATCACTGGTATAATCCATACACCTGATGAAACTTATCACATAGAGGTAAAAATGAGCAACGGTGTAACTTTGTGTTAAAATAGAATAATGTCTCTAGGTGTGGTACATAATAATAATGTAAACAATTTCGGCCACAGTGGCCAATCTCATTGAGACCAGTTATCTGCTAAGGAGATATTTTTGTACACAACTGCACAAGTGTGCACACACAAGTACACTCGCTAATCTGCACAGTCTCAGTCCAGTGAATTCTACAACGGCTGCCAGTCATAGCATATTAAATATTAGTCTCTATTAGGCCACGAGATTGAGTCACTAAGTCAATAAGTAAAAAAAAAACTAGTATTATTTTGCTAGTGACCTACTGTTGCTTCACTTGGGTTCAAACATTAATAGGTGCCAGGTCGTCATCTAACTATGCAGTTGTTGTTGTGTAGTATGCACTAAAGTTCATCCAAATCCATCCAACCGCTTTAACGTAAAGGAGTAAGAAATTTATAATATGTAGTGGTGTGATGATACACTAAAGCAAGTTATCCGGGTGCGGAATCGCTGAGCGTCGAATATTTATTTATCTATACTATCTATATCTATACGAATATTATAAAGAGGAAAGATTTGATTTTTTGTTTGTTTGTTTATACCGAATAGGCTCCGAAACTACTAAACCAATTAAGATGAAATTTGTTAAGAAGATAGTTTGAGACCCTGGGAAGGACATAGGATAGTTTTTATTTCGGAAATCATCCCTTAAGGGATGGAGCTGAAAATGGGGATGAAAGTTTGTATGGGAAATCAACCTAGGGACGAACCCGAGCGAAGCGATGGTGATTTCGCTAGTTTGTTTATATCGAAGCTAGTTCCAGCTTTTACCACAAGTACCATTGAATGCCTCGATTGTAAAAGAAAATAACAAATGCTCTCTTTATTTACACATATGTATCTAGCTAATTTTACTACTGATATTTCAGCCGTCATGGCGCCATTTGCCACATCTTAATGACAAAAACATGATCACGTACAGATCGTCAGATATTAAATTCAGTTGGTCCGGGACGGGAGAAGAAAAGCCAAGAGTTTGTGGATATGTTAAGGAAGGCGAAGGTAAACCATGTTGCATGTAGATGCTTAAAACGTAATATAAGCATTTGAAGAATTTGTAATAATAGTGCACATACATCATCTTCTATCTATTAATAATAAAAATCTAAGTGAGTCAAATCAGATCAGATTTGAATCTGTACATAAGATAGGTATGTTTTGGAAAATCTTATTGAAATAGTCATTATTATCGATACAGAGGCTGAATCTATAGTTTTTAAAATTTTTGTCTGTCTGTCTGTGACCGCATCACGAGAAAACCACTGACAGATTTTAATGAAATTTGGTATGATGATGGCTGGTTATTATCAACGGGTCAACATAATATAAGATACTTTTTACAGCGGGAAAATATCTCATCTCTGAGAAATCTATACTAAACGTAAGTAGGGACGAACCTGAGCGGAGCGTAGGTGAGTTGCTAGTTATTAATAAAAACAAAAAAACTCGGTAAAAAAAGATATTGCAACAGTTATTCTTTGTATTTTGGAAAAAATGTTTAAGAAGTAATTTATATAACACTAGCAGAACCCGCGGCTTCGCTCGTGCAAGAAATCTGATATACGTATTGTTTTATTATTCTAAAGGTATCTTAGTAAGATATATGAAGGTTTTATACAAACCTTCATCATCTATGTTACCCTCATAAGGGATGAATTTTGAAAAATGCTAAAACACGTATTTATTTAATTGTATCGAAGAGCATTAAAATATCAAGTTTCAAGTAATTCTGATCGTAAATATTTTCTTGGGTTGTGTTATAACGTGTTTTCCATGGAAATGAGATAATATCCCGCGGTAAAAAGTATCTTTAATGTCACACCCACGCCCTCCCAACTGTCTCAGTACAAAAATCATGCCAATCCGTCACTCCGTTTCGACATAAAAGAAGGACAAACAAACAATTACTTTCTTTCACATTTATAATATTAAGTATGGATTATAGACATTTTTTTATAGACATTTTGTTTATTATATATAGAATGTTAAATTCATTTTGAGTAAAATCTAAAAATTATAGATTTAGAAGACAATGACGAAGAAGGTTACACTGAAGATTTGGAGTCTGAACTAAAACAAAGCGAAAAAAATAAATATTTGAGTCAAAATCAAGATAGTAATTCTGGCAAAAGATTTAAGAGACAGAGCGATTATGAGTACACTCCAACAAAGACGCGATGCCCCTTGCTCCTTGTTGCCGACTATAGATTCTTTCAGGAAATGGGAGCTAGCAACACGAAAACAACAATTAGTTATTTAGTAAGTATATAATTATTAATAACATTATTATGAGATTAACAAAAATATAAAAAATATGTATATCGAAGCAGCATTAATTTTCTCTATTATTTTCTATTATTTTATCATGACTATAAGTCATGTCATGTCATGTCAAGTCAAGTGAAGGAAAACATCGTGAGGAAACCTGCATGTCCTAGAGAACCTAGCAAGTTTTCGAAAGATATGATCAGTCCGCCAACCCGCACTTGGCCAGCGTGGTGGACTATGGCCTGATCCCCCTCATATTGAAGGGAGGCCCGTGTCCAGCAGTGGGACGTTAAAAAGGGCTGAATAATGAATGGAAGTAAATTTTGGGCATTTTCTTAATAGGTATATTTGTTGCTTGTTTTAGATCAGTCTCATTGATCGAGTTCACAAGATATACAATGACACGGTGTGGCAAGACAGGCAGGTGAGCATGCTAACAAATTAATTTTCTATTTTTCTATATTAATAAATGCTAACAATGGGTACCGATGGATCTCATTCTGGATTCCACTGTCGCTTACCATCAGGCGTCATGGAGTCATCTTGTCGAGTGACAATAAAAAAAAAGTCCAAAAAAAACCAAAAAAAACAACAAAATTGACTTAATTTCTTAACATGGTTTTTAAAAGGTATAATTCACATTGATTTCAATGCCGCTATTGCTTACATATCGACGACACGTTTGGCTCAGCTTGTAATGCTGCGCCAGCGGTCGCGGGTTCGAGTCCCGCTGGGGGCATTCATTTGTGTGCTGAGCGCGAATGTTTGTACTCAAGTCATGGGTGTTTATATTTATAATATGTAGTATTTTAAAGTTATATATGTATAATGTATCAACTATCTGGTATCCATAACACAAGCCTCGTAGCTTACCATGGAACTAGATGGTGCTGTGTGTTAATGTCCTAACATATTTATTTATTACATATTTAAAGAAGTGTCAACTATTAATTTTGTTCACGGCATAGGACGCAGATGGGTTCAAGGGTATGGGGTTCGTGATAAAGAAGATCCTGGTGCACTCGGAGCCCACGCGCGTGCGCGGCGGCGAGGCGCACTACAACATGGTGCGCGAGAAGTGGGACGTGCGCAACCTGCTCGAGGCGAGGCTCACTTCATACTTTGAATTTTTGAGTTAATGAGAAACTTAATTGAATTATACTTTATTTAATTAAGCTTTCAATATTTATACAAGCACTTATTCTTTTTTAAATTTACACGAATATTTTATCATATTAAATAATAGGTACTGTTTTCGGAATTTTTCGTGGATTTATTTTGTTTACGTTTTATGTAAGCAACAGCAGTACTGGGATGTAATATTATTAATGGGGGTAATGTTTATTATTTTTTAAATTTAAATCGTGGTTTTAGTGACATTAATTTAAGTATAGAAAAATAAGGCTTACATATTATTTATATTTTCACTCACCTTTCTTATTATATTGAAAAAAAGTATATTATTATTTACAAATATAATTTCGATATAGTATTTAGAAAGAGGAAGATTTTGAGCTTCGACGATAGATTTTCTATAGAAGTCAGATAATTAAGATTTGCGGCAAATATGTGTTTCTTATGCGGATATATTAAACGCTATCAAAAGGACGAAGGTGTTACTTGAACTGTGTTATTTGTGAAAGCTTTATCAATTTATTACCCCGTTAAGATGTAACGGAAACACGAGCATACAAACACTTAGTTTTAGTATAGAATACAATAATCGACCAGATATTGAGGTGTTCAAATATTTTTCTGTAGGCTTTTCTCCTTGGTTTGCCACCCGCCGCCATGTTGATTTTATTCTAAGTAATGATAACTGTCCATTATTTTACTAAATAAGTATGTGTATTTATAAATGTATATATTTATAGGTTTTCAGTCGGGAATATTCACACAAGGATTTCTGCTTAGCCCATCTGTTTACCGACCTCAAGTTTGAGGGCGGTATTCTCGGGCTGGCGTACGTCGGCTCTCCGCGCAGGAACTCTGTGGGAGGGATTTGTACACCAGGTGAGTATGTCTAATTTGTTCAGCTTTTAACGATTCTATTGTATATCACACACAATAAAGATGAATAGAAAATATACAACATGTAATTCAAAGTAAACAGGTTTCAATTTTATTTTTTTAGTACAGTTATGGATTTAATAAATTAACTGAAATAAATATTTCATGTGGTAATCATTATTCGGCCTCTGGCTTAAGAGGTATATGAAAAACACCATCTTATAGAAATATCACTCAATAGATTACGACACGGTCGCGGTTGAACATTTTAGATGATAAATTTACCTATTTTGATAAGACTTCATAATTGTTGATAATATGACCAATAAGCATAATTTAAATTATTTTTTTTTTATAAAAAACTACTTTTTGTGACTTAAATATAAAAGTTACATGCTGTCGCTGACTTTTTTGTAGGCATTATTAAGCTCTACAACTTTTCTCTAGAACATAATCATATATCTCTCATCGTTAAGGCAGCGTTCGTAAGAAACGTTTTCGTTCGACCGTTTTTTATCCGACTTTTGCAAATCCGACTACCATTATAAGTCTTTTCATTGTTAGGGTTAATATATAGCCTATCACACTCAGAATAACTTGGTTATCTATTGGTAAAAGAACTTTTAAAATCGGTTCAGTAGAAATTACCCCCTACAACGTCACAATCTCACAAACTTTACCTCTTTATAATATTAGTATAGATACAGCAACCTCAAATAGATCAGTAATATATTTTACAAATTAATATTCGTAGTTTTTTAGTTATTGGTTTTTTTAGTTATAACGAAAACATGTTATCAAATAGAAATTAAGCTACAAGAACTATATTATAATTTTGCACTTTAAGTAAATATGTTTGTCCCGTTTTTATATTTATTCATATATATGTTTCAGTTTGTTTCGTTCCCAGCTGTTTTGGTGCAGAATGTGAGTTATTCTATGTTGTTTTTGTTCGCTTTGCATGTTCATTATGTATATATTTTACACTTTATCATTTGTTTTTTTTTACTGCTTACTCCATATATTTTTAAGATATTTATAGCAGTTATTGTTAAAAATTATATATGTCATATGAAATATATATACTTATAATGGTGTAAAAAAATCTTCCTATTAGATAGATATATACGTTTGTCAAAAGTTAGGTTTTTAACCTACTCGATAATAAGTTTTCTCTTTATATTATTTCTAACAATCAACTTTACTACGAATTTTATCTCATTAAATATTTCATGTTTTTAATACATTAATACATAACTACTAGTTTAAGCGATAATGGGAAAATATCCATAAACAGTGATATAGATAATAACTAATCTTATATACTCATAACAATGTTAATCAAGTATTTATTAAATGTTACTTATACCTTCGTTCACTTTATCAAAATAAATAAGACTACGGCGACTTGCGATTTGTAGAGTACTTCAAGAACGGGTACACCCTGTACTTGAACTCCGGGCTGTCGTCGTCGCGCAACCACTACGGGCAGCGCGTGATCACGCGCGAGGCGGACCTCGTGACGGCGCACGAGTTCGGGCACAACTGGGGCTCCGAGCACGACCCCGACATGGCGGAGTGCTCGCCCGCCGCCAGCCACGGCGGCTCCTACCTCATGTACACCTACAGCGTCAGCGGCTACGACGTCAACAACAAGGTACCTCCCGCGAGACGCTGCTGACCTGGTACACCTGTGGCATCCTTTTGAGAGATGTATTCAGCCCATAGTCCACCACGCTGGCCAAGTTCGGGTTGGCGGACTGATCATGTCTTTCGAAAACTTGCTAGGTTCTCTCAAACATGCAGGTTTCCTCACGATGTTTTCCTTCACCGTTAAGACACGTGGTAATCATGTTGGAAATGATTCGCACATGAAAATATGTATCACAGGTGCAAGCAAGTCCCGGGATTTGAACCCGCTTCACTCGGTTTCGCAAGCGAGCGCGTTACCACTGAGCTACCACTGCCTCATTTTCTTCATTCTTTTGAGAGATGATGCAGGCTACGTAAAGGAGACTATCTTAGGAAGATCTTTCATAGTGGTACATGGCCTCCATCACGCTCGACAATTAGGACTGATCTACACTATAGTGCAAGATCTACACCAACGGTTCGATGTTATTCTGATACAAGTATTTTTATACAAGTAACAATGAGTGCATTCACAGTATCAGTAGAAGTCAAGTTTTGATCGAACCACACTCCAGCAACGTTTCTTATACAAAAATTACTTTACCAGACCCATATAGAACTGTGATCAGCACTATGGTGTGGATCGCCCTTAAAGGTCTCTCTCCGCTAACTGCTACCACCATTTAAATACTACCTCACGTTCGTTTTATGACTATCACAAGTATATTCCAGAACTATACTTCTTCTCCCTGCCCATTTCCTAATCACTTGGGGTCGGCGCAGTACATCTTCTGTACTGCTGAAAGGATTTGGCAAAAGTTTTACGACCGGCCGCCTGCCTGACGTCAACCCTCCTTGGGAATATTCCAGAACTATACTATCCATCGTTTTTATCTATATTTCCATTAATTTGAATGAGTATAATTCACCTGGATGAGAACATGTGTCTACATATAAAGTTTATAACATAAAGCTAGTGATTGTATCGTACATATATGTTAAGTAACGCGCGGCTACGCCCCGACAGCGGTTCTCCCCGTGCAGCCTGCGCTCCATCCGCAAGGTGCTGCAGGCGAAGTCCGGGCGCTGCTTCTCCGAGCCCGAGGAGAGCTTCTGCGGCAACCTGCGCGTCGAGGGCGGCGAGGAGTGCGACGCCGGCCTGCTCGGTCAGCTTCTGGACCATATATTTTATTGTATTCGGTCATATATGGAAATAGACTCCTTAAATATTTTTGTAACTTGTATAGACTCTTTTAGTTCTTTCTAGTATATTATTATAGTAGTGACTTACCCTCCTTTCGTTTGGGTGCGTCCCTAGGTGCATTTTTAATAGAAAAAAAATAGATTTTCTTGAGTGTACCTTAGAAGATGGACACATGCTATCGAGGACTTTTCAGTAGGAATTTTTAAAACCTAAAATTTTCTAGTACATTGTTTTAATGTATCTCTTAAGGTTTAGCCAGCGTTAGCCATATAAATTTCTAAGGATGCCTCGACAAAATCAGTTGTGATGTTTTCTTGAGGAAGTAAAAGGTTTTACTGTAATAAAAGGTATCCTAAATGTGGACCCGAGTAGTAAGTTATCATCTCATTTATTTTTTCGGTGGAATTAAGATTATTAATTTTGTAACTTATATGTTGCAGGCACCGAAGATAATGATATGTGCTGCGATAAAAATTGTAAGCTCAGGAAAAATCAAGGAGCCGTTTGCAGGTGATTAATATTTAAAATTATTAAAGAAACTTAATTATACCTGTTGTGTGTGTTAAATTGTTACGAGATCACCGTTGGTAAGGTATAAAATATTAATTAAAAAAAAAAACAATTATGACTAATAAATAACGAATCGATGAATATATCGAGTGAAATACAAAAACTAAATATATATATCCGTATGAAAACGGCCTACTTTTTTAAAGTCGGTCAAAAACAAAAGTATAAGACCGGTACTACATGATGTACTCATATGCGCAGCGACAAGAACTCCCCGTGCTGCGCCGGCTGCGTGTTCGCGGCGCCGGGCGTGGTGTGCCGCGAGGCCGCGCACCCCGCCTGCGAGGGCGAGGCCACCTGCAACGGCGCCTCCGCCGACTGCCCCAAGGTGCGACCTCTATCTTAACCGTCAATCATAAATAAATATTTTGGGACATTAGCACACAGCACCATCTAGTTCCATGGTAAGCTGGAAGGCTTGTGTTATGGATACCAGATACTTGATACACTACACATAATATATAACTTTAAATACATACGTATTATAAATATAAACACCTATGGGCCATGACTGGAGTATAAACATCCGTGCTTATCACACAAATGAATGCTCCCAGCGGGACTCGAACCCGCGACCGCTGGCATAGCAAGTAAGGTCACTACAAACTGAGCCAATCAAATGAATATCGGCTTACTTCTATTATTGTCAGTGTGTTACTCCTTCACGTTGAAACGATTGATCCGATTTGGATGAAACACTCGCATAGGCTGATAGATACGACCTGGAGTAACACAAAGAATGTTTTTACGCCGCCCAGGGACGCTCGACGTCGACCCGTACGAAAAGATTATTTTGTTAGTTTTGTCTTTATGATGTTGGAATTTTTATCATCGTGCTTTTTTACAATGAGAGCGATATAAGCTTCTTTAAGGATTAACATAAAAACTATTGTTGATTACTAAGCATTGCTACTTAATTGTGATAGAATGTAATCTTCTCATTAATAAAAATGAATGGTTACACAACTTGAGAACGGCTGAACCAATTTGGGTCATTTTTTTTTAAATATTCGTTGAAATCCGAGGAAGATTCTTATGAAAAGAAAAATTTAAAAAAATGCCTGAAAAAAAAAACAATAAAAGGAACTCAATTTTTCTAATCGGGCCTGCTGCACACTTGATTTGACAGAACGAGGTCTGTCGGGTCAGCTAGTTATTAATATATTTATCGAATAACTTACACATTGGGTAGAAAGTTTAAGGGACACTAGTTGCCACTCCCCGCAGGCGCCGGCCATCGCGGACGAGCACGAGTGCGCGGAGCGCGGGCGCTGCCGCAACGGCTCCTGCGTGCCCTACTGCGAGACGCAGGGCCTGCACAGCTGCATGTGCGACATCGGTATACCAAATTCAAATTATTTCAATAATTATTACAATTTTTTACTGAACGTAATGAGTCTAATATACCTACACATATATTCATACTTTATTGTAATGCCAGCGTTGGCTTGCGACTACGTCCGCGTATCTTATTATAACGTGTTTCTTAAAAGTGTTAATTTCAATTTATTTATTTATTTACTGTCTGACACTTTAAATTAGAATAGTCGTCATTTTTGAACGGAAAAGTTGTTTCTTTTGATCACTGTAACTTAAAAATAACGATTTTTTTATTGTTGAATTTTCTAAATCCTAGTATAAAATATTATAAGGATTTTACCTGCCAAAGAAGTTTGTAGCAATTATACTTTCTGAGATGTCGTGATCAATCAGAGTAATTGGCTTTTATATGTAGAAGATATTGACGACCGCCTGTAGTGCTAAGAGAATTTTTCTCTACGCAGAAAAAGTTGCGTTTCCATTCAGGACTAGTATTACTTTTCTTTTACTAAATATAGATATAAAGGTATTATTACGTTTTATAAATCTTTTTATTTATAGTCGCGGACGCGTGCAAGCGCTGCTGCCGCAAGAGTTTGAACAAAACCTGCTTCCCGGTGGCGCACAACGACATCCTGCCCGACGGCACTCCCTGCATACAAGGCTTCTGCAATAAGGTACGACGACTTCTCGATAGTTTTGATAAATAGTTTAAATTACTTCGCAAATAACATTACACATATATAAAAAAAAAATTGGATTAGACGTATTATTAGTATTTTTAATTGTAATCTTTACATATAATTTTTTGTACTATTAGATATGATTGCCTCAAGTGTATACAATTTTTACAGGGAGTGTGCGAGAAGACGATCCAGGACGTGGTGGAGCGGTTCTGGGACATCATCGAGGACATCAACATCAACAACGTGCTGGGCTTCCTGCGCGACAACATCGTGGGCGTGGTCGTGCTCGTCACCGCCTTCGTGTGGATACCCGCCAGCTGCGTGGTACTATGTCCTACTAATATTGTAAATGCGAAAGTTTGTGATATGTGTTCGTTACTCTTCGACGCAAAAACTGCAGAACGGGTTATGATGAAAACTTACAGTAATATATCTTATACATCAAATACGATCGGAGCCGCGGAAAAACGCTAGTACATTATACAACTGTTTTTAGCTATTCTTATCATTTGAAGTTTTTGCTTATTCTGTGATTGAAAGGATGCACTTTCTTTAGTGTAGAAGCAATAGGATGCGTAAATTTTTTATACCCCGCTTCGTCAAGTAACGAGATAATTTAATACCCGATATTGCACTGATTTTCGGTCGCTAAAATACGTGACTAATGTCCGTTTTCACCAACATCATCACTTAATCTACCACCTACTAGCCCCTAAATTAAATTTCGCTTTACCATCGTCAGAACCCGTATTTCTAGTACTTATATTTAGGTGGCATTTTAACATTTAGGTGACCCCTAACTGTCGGTGAAACAGAAACTGTCCCCTAACAGCCCCCTAACCATGCTTAGGGGATCCCATAAACTTAGATGACGTTGGTGAAATCGGCCATAAGTTTTATATTTGAATAGTTTGCTGTATAGGTGTGTTAATTTTATCATTTTGTTCGTGATTTTAAATACAATTTAGCGTTTTTTTATTCCATGATATAATGTGTTTTCCTTCTTTCTTTTCTGATAATCATGTTGAAAATGATTCGCACTTGAGAATATTAGAGGTGCGAAACCCGGGATTAGAACCTTTTTAACTTGCTTTCTCAAGCGAGCGCGTTACCAACGGATTACTGCCTTAATACAAAATATTTTTTTAGATAAGCTACGTGGACCGGCGACGCCAACGCCAGCATCAGAAGTATTTAGAGTGGGAACGACAACACGATCTCGTACATCCCTCTTCACCTCGTAAAATCATTCATATCAGGTAATATGTGTAAACTGTGTAATCTATGTAGATTTAAATTACTTTTTTTTATTAAACGCCACTTAGTTTATTATAAATTGTACAAAAATTTTAGAATTAATTATTGTTGACATAATTTATATATATTAACACCCCCTTTCAGGTTGCCCAAGCAGAAACCGCCTGGGATGAAGACTGTCATCCAAGGAACTAGTCAACTTTAATCATCAAATATTGTTTATTGAATTTCACTTTAGATTGTAATATAGCTTAAGAATTCGTGACGATAAATAAAAAATACTCGAATTATTTGCAATGTTTTATTTATTGAATATATATATGAGAATGCAATATTATATTTGCTTCATCTTATAATAAAGAGCAATAAATACTATGTGAGAAATACTACGAGTAGTACATAAATAGTGTGCAAGCTAAGTGTGCAGCTGCGGAATATATGTATCTCTAAACTTTATAATATGATTTAGTTGAGTGCAGTAGATGTGAGCAGGGCGACGCCTCTCTCGTAGAAGGCGTGGGGCTCCTGCCCGGCCGCGATGGGGAGGCGCACGGTGAACAGCAGCTCGGAGCGCGCGCTGTTCAGGTACACCGGCAGCGTCAGCGTCTGTCCCGCACTGGCCGGTTCCGCTCCACTGTGGAATAGTTATTGAATATTGAAAAGCTAGCATTTTTCCTATTAAATTGAAATACTATTTAAATTGTTTAAAAATATCGGATGCGGAATTTGTTTGTATTGTTTTTTACTTTCTCACGCTAAAGCGGCTGGACGCATTTAGTTCACAAATAAACTATGATCTGAAATAACACGTAGGCTATTTTTTAGACACCTAGGGACGCATCAGAGGGTAGTTCATATAAATAAAAAAATATGTTTAGGCGTACCGAATCCAAGTAAGCACTGTGAGCGGAAGGTCAACCATAATAGTGTTGGTGAGCAGCAAGCGATTCCCTTTGACGGTGGCGCCTTGCAGCTTCAGACCCGTCACCGTGAACGACCACTCCGTCTGCGCGTTTTCAGCGGGAGTGCCCGGGTCTGGGATAGTCACCTAAGAGAGATTTGGTTATTAGTTATCCTCAAAATTATATTATTTAATTTTGTACACATATTTATTACCTGTAAGTTTAATTCTTCAAGCGACCATGAATTAGCTTGAGCGACGCACTGGCGTGTGGCCGTAATGTATGCCTCCGGGTTCAGCAGCCCACCGAGCCACACAGGAATGCTCTAAAATTAATAATATTAATTAATATATATTATGTCAATACTCTTAAATGTTTACAAGCGAATCACTTGAATTTTAACAAAACATCAGATGAGAACCACAGTATCGACGAGTAGACGATATAAAAATAAGTAAGAATGTCAAGTACGCTACACCAGCACGATTGTCTACACGTCGTGATCTAGACGCCTTCGATAGACCACTGTATGGATAAGTTTCAAGTATATTTAACCACCGAATAACTCAACGAATGTTACATACAACAAATCTTAATCCGGTTAGACTGGGGATTGGTAGATCGTGCAACAATATAAAAAGAATGTATATGTAGAACCTGCAAGCGCTTGGCGCCCTGGTCGGCGACGGTGCGCGACACGTGCGCCAGCTGCTGCACGCGGCGCGCGAAGTCGTCCACCCACTGCTGCACGGTGCAGCCGCGCGCCACGGCGTAGCGCCGCCAGCCCGCCGGCAGCATGCCGCGCACCAGCGACCCCACCATCGCGCGCGTCTCGTTCGTCTGCTTCATTGAACCCTACACAAGATGTTTACAGAGATATGGCGAGATGTACGACAAGTTTCTCTTCAATTTATATAGGGCTTACTTTTAAGCTTATAAATTTATATTACTAAAATTAATTATATTACTGTAAACAAAATATAACACTTTTTTTGAAGTCAGTTAAAAATCTATACACTTTCACCGACACAATTATAGAGTTATTTCAATGAATTCAATAGTAAAAATAATATTTAAAGTAGACTTTTCAGTTAATCTAATTAGTAAATTACGTACCTGACATATAGCAGTGACGTTGTGTAGATCGTGCAGTACTTGCTGCAGCAGCGAGGCGCCCGCCGCCACTTCGCGCTCGAAGAAACGATACAAAGGGTCTTTGATATTCTCCACTGTACGACGGAGAGTCTGGAATAGAAAAATTTAGTATATAGTAATAAAAAATCATGTAACAACTTGCAGTACCCGCGGCTTCGCCCGCGTTCAAACTATTAAAAAAACCAAACTCCTTGACACACCAACAACAGCGCCACCTACAGGTCCAATTGTGTTTTCAAACCATCCAGGAGCCCATTGAAATATACACACAAAATTTCATACAAATCGGTCCAGCCCTTTAGGAGGAGTAAGGTGATAAACACACGTACAGAAGAAATATATATATTAAGATGTGGTGTGAGGTGATCTCTTTTTACCTAACTTTATACAGTAATACGATAACTCCACATTATAACTTACTGGTAGTTCTTTAGGTAGAAGTTGCAACCAACTAGTTGAGGTTTCTTGTAAGGTCTTCATCCAAGCTGGGCGGCCGTCGCCCTCCACGACGATTGAAACTGTATGAAAAATGTTGCATTTAAATAACTCTTTGATGAAAATAATTTTTCTAAAAAATTTATAATATAAGGATGACTAACGTGGATCATGATCTTGAGTGGCAGCGTTGTATGCTAGTTCCTCTTCATCCTCAAGTTGTTGCATTTTCAGAAGTTTGGAGACAAGATCGCTTCCTTGGGTTGTTAATAAGACCTATAGAGAGAAATTATAAGAAATTAGGATTTTTAAACAATAAAAATAAAACCAATGCTTTAAATATACTCATATTTATCTATCGATTGTATGGTAAAAAGGGATATTAGTATAATTATATATTATATTTATAATATCAGAATATATTATAGTTCATAATATACCTTTTCAGCATTATTTGGCAGTCCAAGCCATGACGGTGTTTGTCTGTCCGACAGTTCTTCGATCCATTTGAGGAAATGATCGCGGCGGTTTCCATCAGGCATTGTAATGTGCCTTTGGTTGCCTGATGCCTGTAAAGAGCAAATCATTTTTTAGATAATCACTATATTCTAACCTTTGTTTGTTTTGAAACTAGCCATCAATACCAGCCATCATACAAAGGTGTTTATACAATTTTCCACTTCTCGGTTAATACTAATAATATTTTGATAGAGAATCTAATATCTCTAGGCTCAACCCGGAACTTTAATCAAACCAGAGGTTTGATGTTTAGCGACAGTATAAAAAGGCATAAAAATATGTATGTAAGCCCTTACCCCATCAACGTTGGCTACAAGAGCAAAATCAGCCTCGAAAGACCTAGGTGTGAACAGTTTGCACAGGAAGGAGTGTAGCAGTCGCTGGTCGAACAGATTGTCTATTTTACCGCCGTAGATGCACTGTGAAAGCAAGGTCACTAAGGCTTCCCATGGCACCTTTTCTGGTGGCAAGTTTGTACGACCCTGAAAAAATAAAAATATAGGGTGAAGAAATGTATTGTTCTCATCTGCTTTTATGTAACAAGTGTCATATTGTACAATAAAATATTAACTAATCTAAACCTCATGAAACTGGTACGACTTTCTTGAACGCATACAAGTAAAATTTCTTGTATGTCAAAAATTACTTACAATTAGCGTAATATAGTGCAAAGAATACCAGTAGCTTTTTACGATAATTAATAATTTATTATAATATATTAAATAGTGTCATTTTCAAGATTAATATAAAAAATATTATTAAAATTGCTACGATAAATATATCAAGTTACCATAGCAGTGGCGTCAATCCATGTATCTAGGGTATCGCAAGCCACGCGCAGGTCGGACTCGTTGAACTCGTAGTACTTAGCCCAGCCCAGCGGCACGTAACGGAGACGCTCTTGGACGATACCTGTTATATCGAAGAAAACCTTTTGAGTATAATATCGTAACAAAAGTATTAAGTATTTTAATTTGAACAATGAAATCATATATATATATATATATATATATATATATATATATATAATTTGTGAAATAAATAAAAAATATTTATTCACCATGGAACCACGCCAGTAAGAAGTAGAGTCGGGCACGCTCGGAAGGCTGTTTCATCATGCGGGCTGCGGGTACCTGTGTCACAAAATGTATCATATTTTAATAAAGAAAATAAATATTATTTACGACTACACAGAATGGAGTACCAACTCAGTAATGAATTGACTCTATATTATAAATAGAGATAGAGTATGGATAAGAAAGTGTTAATAGACTACCTTTGAGATGGATGAAATTTAGTATACAACTAGCGACACACCCTCGCTTTGCTCGGGTTCGTATTATAAAAGTAGCCTATGAGTAACATATTCCCTATAAAATCAGCTATCTTCCAGTGAAAGTCCCGTCAAAATCAGTCCAGCCTTTTCAGAGATTTTCCGGAACAAACAGACAGATAGACAAAAATATTAAAAATTATGTTTTTCTTATAAGTACCGCATATAATTTTATATCCATTTAGTAAAACGCTGTTATTTTGACATTCCAAACAGACTCTTCAATTTTATTTATCAGTTTAATTAAACTACATAACTTATACACTGTTAGGCATCTAGTATAAAAAAAGTCAGTCACTCACGGTAGCGAAAGTCCTGAGCAGGTTGGCGCGTATGCCGGGCGGCGGCTCGAACACCAGCACGCGGCCGGCGCGCAGCAGGTTGACGGGCAGCTTGGGGCTGATCTCCGTCGTGAGGAACAGCCTGAAGGCGGGGTGCGGCTGCAGCGAGTGCAGCTTCTTCTCCAGCTGCACCAGCCACACCGGGGCCAGGTGCACGTTCTTTAGCATTACCCATCTGTAATTATTGATAGCATGTTACATTAAAATCGCGAATAAGGCATAAAAGAAGGTAGCATGCATACTTATGTAGCCGTAAGCATAATGGAATCAAAATTAGTATAGAAATATATTACAATTTATTGTATGACAAATATGAATTATTTAAAATAAACAAACCTTCCAGTCTTGCAGGCGGTGTTAATAGCGCGCTCAGCTTGGTTGAAACCTTCTGCTGAACCAATAGCGATGCTTGAGAGTGGCTTGTTAAGTTCAGTTGCCATGTCGTCCACACGACCTATAAACACATATAAAAAAAATCCAATGAAAAATTAAAAATGCGCAACTTTTACATAGATGATTTTATTTTAAAATTTATATTTATGGTTTTATGGAGTAGAGTGAAAAAATGCAGGTGATATTTCATTTTACTTTCTGATCATTTTACTTTCAAATACTTAAACAGATATGTATATAATATATTTTTGGTTTTGTTCCTATCTTTGTTAGCAGTAGATGCATATAACTTTGTTTATTATTATTTCTTTTAGTTTATAATAGCTTGTTTTTTATCTAATATCATTGTTGTCTACATTTTTGCATGCTTAGTTTTCACCTGTAATTGAAATACCATTTAGTTCACCTAGTCTAAGTTTATCTATGTATGCAAAAATGAATGTGATATTGAGTATTTTGTTGGTGTTAATAATAAATAAATAAATAAATAAATTTTCAGACATTGAATTGGACAGTAGGAGTCTGTCCTATCTCTCAAAAGGTTTTTCTTGGTTACCCCAGGACAATACAAATCTTTTGCCTCGTGTTATCATTATGAATTTTTCAAAAGAAATCATTAGAACATTCATTATTTTACAATAATAAGTTCCCATGAAACCTTTGTCTTATATGCAGCAATGGATATATTTTACAATATTTAATAAACAACGACCACTTACCGCTAGCATCGTATCCGGGCACGGAGCACAGCAACGCTGGAGTGGTTGCGTTCAGTTGGTGCTCAGTGATACTGGACAATTCTAACTCGGTTTCAGCCTTCGCCATGAAACTTGGGCCCAAAACCGATGCGACTAGTTGGGTTGCTGCTGCTATCACACGATCGGGTCTGAATGCCTGTGAATGTGTGTGAAGTATATGAATTGTATATGTAAAAAACAAAAACTATGTGCAACATTTTTCAATATTCATAGGAAAAAACTGTAATAAATATAATAAAAGATACTACTGTGATGATTTAAGAAAAATTAAACAAATATTTTGACAAAAAGAAAATAACTAATCTGACTGCTATTATGAATGCTAAGTTTGTTTGTATATGTACGTATATAGTCATGTAATGATGTAACACATAATCTACTGTTAATAATAAAAATTCTTAAAAGGAAATAAAATTTGTTGTTCGCCTAAAGACGGATACGCAGATATTATTACATATAACGAATCGTGGATGTTTTTGTATCAAGTCCCAAGAGCCATCAAGAGAAGCGTGAATGTAACCTGTATGAGCAGCAGGCGGTACATGGCGAGCGTGTGCGGGCGCGGCGGCGCGGCGGCGTCGCAGTCCCACAGCGTGGGCACGCACTGCTCGGGCGCCGCCTGCGCCAGCCACGCCGGCAGCTCGGGCAGCTCGCCCGCCTTCTCCAGCAGCCGGCGGAATGCCACCAGTCTGCGGAAGATAAACATTATATACTTAGATATTTTTCCAGTGTGTTATGTTAAAGTGTGTGTATTGTGTTGTCGATTTCTTATTAAAACATTTTTATATAAAGTTGGTACAATTTTTGCTCAATTTGCTACATACAAATAGAACAAACTAGAATAATTTAAATAATATTCACCTTAACAAATCTAAATTTTTCAAGTAGAATATATATATATATATATATATATAAGTAGAATATATATATATATATATATATATATATATATATATATATAGATATATTTATTATATTATAATTAATAAGTAATAATATTCAAGAAAACTCGAATAAGAAATTTTATAGAACAAAAATGTGCGACTAGCGTCACCTGGAGCTGAGCCTGGCAGCAGCGTCGTGCTGGTGCTGCGAGAGCGGGTCCCGCGGCGGCGTGTTGGCCACGAAGCCCTCGCGGCCGCGCAGGAACACGCCGAACTGCTGCTCCAGCGTGTCGTCGGCGCCCGTGCCCTTCAGCTGGATGCGGCACAGCAGCAGCGCGAACGTCAGCCGGTCCGTGTGCAGCATGCCGCGCGCCACGCGCTCGTACACCGCCTGACGTTATATCGAAATATAATAATATAAAAAAATTATAAATAGACCCTATTTGTCGTCGGTCAACAATAATTTCTTTCTTGAAAAACGTTCTTGCTATAAAATTATATATCAAACCAAAATATGTTTGTATACTTATAGACTTATATAAGCACTTTTGAACTATCAATTACTAGATTTATTTAAATTTAATGTTCGTTTCGTGAGGATGCTACCACCGACTTCGAAGGCAGTTTGCTGAGAAGAGCCAGCGAGAAACTCAATATTTGCTCGTTTAAAAATAATATATATTTAGAATATTGCAATACAATAAATATCTACACACAATAATTTATAATATAAGAAAGTTACAAATGAAAATTATTTGTCATTGTATACTCAATTAAGTTTCGTGACTTGCTTATTATAATGAAGACTATTAACTATAAAAAACTTAAAAAAAGTTATTTCTTAAACTCACCGTAAATAGTTCTTCTGTGATAGTTTTCAATCTAGCGGTATAATCTGAAACTCCGGTAAGACCCGGGCAGTTCAGCACTGTGCTGAATATATCCAAGAACATTTTCAGAGAATACTGATATAGGAAATGGACTTGATGAAGAGCTTCCATCGTGAAATAGATGCTGCTGCACGCCTAAAAAAAAATAGACACAAGACAAAAAATTAAAAATTGTTCTATAGAAAAATTTTGCAGAGAGAATATGAAGTATTAAACTTACTTGTGACAACGGTAAATATTGTTGACTGACAGTTTCGATTTCAGCAATAACTTTATCTGTTTCTTCAACCTAGGAAAAAATATAATAATTTATACAATAATTCTATAATTATTTAATTAACATACTATTATGTCAATTTTATATTTTTGAATTGTGCTTTTTTTACCTTTTGTCCAATATCATCTGCCTCTTTCTTTAGTGTCTCGAGAGTTGCGATAACAGAATCATCATCAAGAATTTTGCCCTTAGCATCATTAAGAGCTTGGAGTAGAGATTTTTCTAACTGTCGCAGACGTAGATGGAATTCACCTAAAAATATATTAATCAAAATAAGTTACTTTACTCATATCTAAAAAAGAAACCAGGCGTCGGTATCGTTGTGAGAGAACGTGGGCCAAATCCTATGTTCATATGAAATCGACACCATGAAGTTTATGACCTCCAGTAGTAAAGTGTTTTATTACTAATTCAAAATTTTATGTTATTTTTTTGTCAACTATACTATATATGAAACACAACTTGCCCTGTAATTTCAGCAGATCGGATCTCTTGGTGTCGATATCCGGGCGCTCCGCCTTGAGCACGCGGTGCAGGCACTGCGACTGCAGCGACGAGCGCGTCACCGTGAAGTTCACGAACGTCACTCGGGAGCACATGTCCGGCGGAAACTCTACTGTTGGGTCCCTGAAAATAGATTATGTATTACAGTTATCTAATATTAGTCTAATTGTTATAATATTTAAACTTATGACTTAATAAAATGCTTTAAATAAAAAAAATATTTAAAGCATTTATTATCTATACCTTAATACTATAAATGTAGAAGTGATTTTTTTGTGTGGAGATAGTTGGGAGAGCTGGAGAGTATCATAGGCTACATTTTAAGGCGCTCTTTTCCAGAATTTAGGATATTTTGAACCATTATAAAACCACGAATATAATACATATAGTTCTAAAATTCATACATGTTATAGTTAAGGATAATAGCTAAGTACCCGGAGAGGCCAAAACACGATTGGCAATAGTTCACTCGATAGAAAAAAAATTTCAAAGATAGGTCTAAAAATACCTTAAAATCTCTGATACACACAAAATACATTATTATATGATATGAAAGTTATACTCATAGATTTAGCTTGTCATTATTTAGGTATTCGGAGAAACAGATTTTCATTTATTAACTTATATTTATGGCAATAGGCAAAAAACAGATAAAATGAAACGGGACGTCGCGCGCTGGCGCCTAGGGAGCGGCGATTCTGGAAAAGAGCGCCTTAACGTGGGAGATTATCTCATTCCCACGGGAAAACACGTTATAATAAAACCCACAACAACTCATCATACCTATATAGTCTATGTATTCCATACTTACCGTTAAACGTACGTAACCCAAGCGAAGCGAGGGTGAGTCGCTAGTTTATAATAATTATAAAACGAAAATATTATTAATACATTATTGCCTAGTAAATATTTATATTTATTTATACAAACCTGGTGCTCAAGAAGATGACGAATGACGGACTCAAGTCGATGTCCTGGTCTCCGAGTGTAATGAGCACCCTGCCGCCGGTGCGGCGCAGCTCGCGGTTGAGGACCGGGTTCAGAATAGGGTCGTAGTTCTCTACGTCCTATAAGTTTAGATAAAGTAACGATTCGTATTAAAATTATTACATAGCACAAAGGAACTTTAAACATGGCATAATTATTCATTTATATATAATGTATATTAAATATTAATTAATAATAATGTATGAATTTTAGTAAGTACTAAATAACTTGATAAAAATAATTGAATTTTTGGAAAACTTACCTGTACCAGTAGAGGATTACCGAAACGCAGCGCAGATTCCAAATTTTTCCTGAACGAATCATCGAGGAAAGATGTTTTTGTAATTTTACGTTCCTTGAATTCGCGCATAATAAACTCAGTCGCTTGTCCCGATGGGTCGATGATTAGTGGATAACGGTTGAAGCGCTGTAAAGAGAAAAATATAGTATATTGATAAATAATACAATATTTAAGAAAAAATAGAAATATAATAAATGAAAACCGTAACATCCACTCAAATAAGAAAGTTGGCTTAGATGTCACTGTATATTGATCATAATTGTCTTTTCATTATGTATCTTATCAGACTTCTACTACTACTAGTATGTGCGTATGTTTGTTACTTTTTTTACTAAAACTTCTGGACGGATTTGGGTGAAATTTAGCAGACAAATCGACTATTACCTGAAATAATACTTAAAGATGGACACGTAACACCTATTTTTTTTTTCGATTTAAAAAAAATCCATTTTTTTTTTCATTTTTAAAATTTGAAAAATGAAAAAAATAGTAGTTACCGGACCGGGCTTAAAAGTTGCATGATGGATAGAAGTTTTAAATAGAAAATTTTCAAAAAAAAAAACGAAGGATACACACAGTTTTAAAAACGCGATTGGGAACTTAAAATTCAAAAGTCTCGATTAAAGCATTTTATTATTTTTTATATTTTTTTATGTAAAGGTAATCTAAAAACAAAAATCTTGGAAAAAAATAATTGAACTTCGATCATTATTAAGGAAGTTATGAGCAAAAAACAAAAAAAGAGCGGTTTTGACCAGTGATCAAAAAAATCACAACATTTATCAGGAAACCTGTTTTGAGGAGTACTAAAAATACCAAAATATTGAGAAAATCAAAAATATAATATTTTGAAACTATAAATATAATATTTTGAACATATATTACTACATACTTTAAGCATAATAGCATTCTCCACGCACAGCTCGTCGGTGGGCAGCGCGTTGGCCTGCCAGCGCAGGCGCTCGTCCGGGTTGCTGAGGTACTCCGTGCGCGCGATGTCCGCGCGGAACTTGATGTTCGCCGCCGCCAAGTGGTTCGTCCAAGTGGAGAACAGGTTTTGTCGATACTACGAGTTGAAGACATTATCGTTTAATTTACATTTACAAATATTGTAAAAATCTGGTAGAATTTAGCACATCGACAGACCATGTTCTGATGCCAACGGTATTTTATCCCGTGATAAGTTTTAATGGGTTTTTAATTGTTCAATTTTATGCACAATTTTACCAACTTACCAATAGATGGCACTGTCCAAGAATGTTTAAAGAAAATAAAGAAATTTGGGATTACATGATGGGACTTACATGCTGGTCGAAATATCCACCGTAAGCAATAAAAGCTGCAGACAGCAAAACGTCTCCAATGATGGTGCTCATTTGTGAGCGGAACGTTTCCGAACTTGATTCCCATCGTTCTCGTTCAATAACCAGACTCTTCAATAGGGCTATTGACCTATCCACCTAAAATGAAGTTATGTAATATTAGTATACACAGTAACACATATAATATATATTTAATTTTATTAACATATAATAGTGTTGGACAAAATATTTCCTTACCTTTGCCTGTACATTTTCAAGATCGGTTTTAATTGCTTGCGCTTGACTGATGAGTTGTGCATATTCTTCTTTGTAAGAAGCAATAGATTTTTCCAGCTGTGCGATCAAATCGCGCACTTCATTTCCAGCGGTAACATTGCTCTGCGCCTGGTCTTCCAGAGCTTGAAGCTCATTTCGCAAGGGTTCAACACGTTTCAACATGTCCGCATATTCAATCTATGAAAATTACGTAAGTTTAGTTTTATATTAATATTTAATATATGAATATCAAAATTATATGTTTATGAACATAATTTTACCTGAGCAATGGCCCATTTGACCATAGGACCACAGGCCATACTGGCCCTGTTAACTTTTTCAAAGTTGTAATCCGGATTACTTAGATAACGAGTCTTCATCTTCTCGCGAACATCGTCACTGACACATACAAAAGTGATTAGAAATGTTGCCAAATAAGACTGGAGCTTTGTAATTTGTGAAACCAATGAACCATACCATAAAATTTTGAAAAAAAAGTTTGTCTCATGCATTTCATTTATCCTTTAACCATCAATTTTATAATATTATACCATATGATATGAAATGGACATCATTGGACAACACAGCAAATAAAAAATAGTATAAAACCAAATGCCTCTTTCAAAAATATTTTGACAAAAAAAAATATATAGATAGCAAACAAAAAAAAAAGAAAGAAAAATGATTTCAATACAAAAGCCAGTTGATTCACTGCCACTAGTGATTTTCAACAGCCTCTTTGGACTTACGGACGGACATTATTTATTGGCAAATACATTCATGCAATATGATGGTATGGCTTATTCATACCAGGATAATCTGAAATAATTTAGGCTTATAATAGAATTTTCACGTTTGCCAATTGCTTTAAAATGTAATAATTAAACCCCTTTTTAGGCAAATATACTAATTTAAACAGGAGAAATTCATTTTCAAAGTTTTACTTAAGAAATTGCAATATTTTCTTTTAATATAATCAAATGCCATAACCACAATCTACTTTGAATACGTGCAAATAAAAAGTGCATAACGAATTATCTTAATATATGTTTAAATATATTGTAGATTTAATGCACTCTTACAATATTAATAAACAACTACTTCGCTACAAAATGGGCAGTGTCTAGTTATTCTAATATTGTTTATTGCACATCAGTCTTATCATATTGATAATACTCAATCTCTCTATCTACTTATACCGTCGAAAATTCATTGTGCAGTACCAGGAGAAATAATAAAAAATGCAGACATTCACCATGCAAAGCAAGCCCAAAGCAACAATCATATTTATGCCTTAAGTCTTTTCAATATAGGTATGTATACTGTCCCTCATATTTTACGTCAATTGATTGATATTTTTAATAAAAATAATAAAAATTTAATTTTCTTGTTAATGGCTTCAAAGCACGACCTTTGAGCACAGATTACTTCGCCAATGTCACGTAGAAATAATTAAGATTTCGTCAAGTATATTTGAAGTAAATTATGAGCGACATCGTTATGAACCTTCACCACAATCAGAAGTATCAAATCATCCTCAAAGGAACGGAGCCCGACAGTTGAGGGGACGAGGGAGGGTAGTGGGGGTGTCGTGTAAGCGGGGCGTGCTCACGTGATGTCCTCGGTGGAAAAGTTGGAGACGATGCTGTTGATGAAGTTCTCGCGCATGATGACGGCGCGGATGGCCTTCCAGTCGGTGGCGTTCTCCCCGAGCAGCAGGCAGATGGACTCCAGCGCCACCTTGACGATGGCCGGCGGGTTGCCCATGGAGCGCACCTCCACGAGGTGCTGCTTCTTGATGGACTTCACCGCTGTATATCGGAGCGCCGCCGTCCGTCACCCGCCAAGCGAGAGCGAGAGAGTACAAAAAGAGAGAAACAAAAGGCCTTTAGCGTTGCGACATGCGGCCGGCGGCGCGCGTTAGTCACGTCGCGGTTAGTGCCGTACGCACGGCGAGTTAGGTCACATCGGTTACGACAGCACATATACGAGCAAGCTTAGCGTATTTACAATATTATCTAATACAAAAGTTTCATTCCGATAAGGATATAGAACTTATATTAAAATACGAAGGTACGATGCTTAGTTAAATGAGTTACGAAGGAATATAATCGTATTACATTTTCCGATGCACTAAATACACTAAAATGTTTTTGCCAATAAATATCGGACTGAGAAGGGTAAGACATACGCTTGCTATCTACTGTAACATTCGTGAGGAATGAATCATGTAATTGCTCCATGGAATTTAATTTTCATTTCTAACATTTTTAGCTTTCGCATGAAAAGATGGCACGCCAACATTAATTATTAATTTTGAAGATTACAACCGAATTAGTATGTTTAAAAATTTCCACTCGAGTTTATATCTTACTTTTAAAAAATGCCAATACGACCAAATTTATATTAAAACTCAACTTGTACATATACTAAGTTATAACATAAGAAATTATATAATTATACGCGTAACAATACGGCAATTCAGACCCATTAAAATACAATGTAACGCGCAATGGACGTGCGGACGCGCGATCTCCTCATCGTAATCGGAACGGCACTAACGTGATGTTCTCAGTCTCGAAGTTAACAATAGTGGATATGAAGTTGTCCTTCATGACAACGGAGCGGATGCCCTTCCACGTGTCGCCCTTCTCGCCGAGCAACGTGCAGATGGACTCGAGCGCCATCTTGACCACGGAGGGCGGGTTGGCCATGGACCGCACCTCCACCAACTGCTGCTTCTTGATGGACCGAACCGCTGCAGGGACCATGGCCCAAGTGTAGGTAATAACAGTAAGTCGATGGCCCGTGGCCCATTACCACGCTTGCATTGCCGCATTACTTTACGTCGTACGCAACGTTCACGGTTAACATTTATGTATATTGTCGCGCACTATCTACTGTCACAGGGAATGACTTTACAAATTATTAACAACTACGATCAGGTGCAACCACATAAATATATTTTTGTGCAAAAATATATTTCTTTAGAATTTCGAAATATATGTAATCGTTGCAAATTGCAATTCAATCTAAAAATCGTATTTATTATTATTGTAATTTAGAAATAATATTTATGTAGTTTTCACGTCTACCCAAGCTTGGAAAATTATTGTGTTATAAAACAGAGGGAAGGCAAATAAGAAATAAATCAAACCGTTTTGCGCCTCGATGACGGCGGGCTCGACTTGTGCCAAGTCCGCCATGACGTCCTTGCGTTTTGCGTCGATTTCTTTTGTTTGCTTCTCGAGAGCAACCTGTACAGTTTTAATTATACGATGTGTTAAGTACTAATATTATTTATAAGACACAGTAGTTTGTTATTTTTTATCATTATTCAAACCTGAATTTCTTGACTTTCGACTTTCTTCTTCTCAGCTTCCTGTTGGTCTTTAACCATTTGCCTAAGTTTAGCGTTGGCGGCTTCATTTTTAGCTTGAAGTTCCTGTTACATTGTCAATAAAAGTAATTGATAAAACGGCCATCTCAGTTATAGAATTGAAACACATTTATAATATAATTATAATGCGTAATTTTTTTTTTAAATTGTGACATTTCAGATTTGAATTAAATAAATATAAATAATTTGTTTACCTGTGATTTCACTGCGAGACTCTTTTGCATTTCCTCAACCTGTTCTACAGTTTCTGCGATCTTTCCGAGACCAACGTTCAAGTGTAGCTGCTGCTCCTCCAGGTCGGCGCGCTTCTCCGCGTACAGTTTCACCATTTGTTGGATGAAATCTAGGTAGTGTCTGTAAATCAATTATATATTTTATTTATTTTTGTAAACTTACCTCATATTAATTTCGTAAATCTTAGAACATATAAAGCTTATACAAAATAAACATATCTCTGGTTTACACTACACATAATAGAGAAATGAAACGAATATAAGCTTATACATATATCAATAATAATAGCTTTAATCAATTAGACTTATACGAGCCCTTTTAAAATCCTCTCAGTTAGTAGTGAAGCTAGCAGAACAAGAGCTCGTTATAAAATAGCCCCAAACGGTAGTATGCATGTGTATATATAACCTGGGCGTGATGGCCATGGTGCGGTTGGCGCGCTTGGCGAGGCGCGCGTTGGCCTGGTGCAGCGTCTGGTGCACGTACACGCAGGCGTTGACGACGGCGGCGCGGTGCGCGGGCCGCGCGCCCACCTCGCCGCACGCCGCCGGGAACTGCGCCGGCGGCACGTACTCCGCCCAGTCCAGGTCCATGCGCGTCGTGAACTCCTTGCCCACCTGGCGTACGCGTACACACATTATACTACACACTATAATAATTAAGATACATACTATAATAAATATTTTAATAATTTGAGTGAACGTAGGCCTTCGATCTTAAAGGAAATCCAGTTTAATACAGAGGTTGTTACGAATATTTATGGAAAATGGTAGCGAGCTACAGTTATACTTATCGAGCCGTAAACCCGTTTCCCGATCGCCATACAAAAGTAAGTATTACAATCGAGAGCTAATAAATCTCATAGATTATAAATCTATACATCTATGTATGAAAAAATAATATATTGCTATGCTATCGCACCTGGAATAGCGCACCGTCGCTCCAGTCGCCGAACCAATTGAGCACGCAACGGTTGAAGAGCGCGGGCGACGTCGCGGCGCGGTCCTTCAGACCCTCGGACGACGGGTTCATTGTAAACACTACGTGCAAGTTGCGCATTACTTGACCGGTGAACCTGTATAACGAAATATTTATTTATTATCAAAAAAATACCATTTTTAAATATCCGTTATATTATACAATAAAATATACAATTTTTAAAATTATATAATTTTAACTCATATTTACCATTTATATAACTCATCATTAGAATCCAGCATCAACCCTTCTCTTTGTGCACCCTCTTTACATTGAGTCATGAGAGCTGCGAATTCATCGCCCTCGAATAATCCGGGCACCTACAGATAAATAAAAAAATGAGAACCTTATATAACAGTATATATTTATCTATTATAAAGGGATTTTATTAAATAATTATTATGTTAAAACAAAATGTTTTTGTTATGAATATCAATAATATAATGACCTCTCCATTAGCGAGCAGTGTGTTCATGCGTTCAAGAAAGCCGCTGTCGAGTACGTTGGACTCGTCCAAGATGAAGGCGACCTTCTCATCGCGGCATCCCGCGCGGCGCAGTACTGAACGTAAGTCTTCGTCGAAATCCGCTCCCGTGTATTTATTATGGACCTAAAAAGAATATTTTATCTTTGTATCATTAGATCAACCATTTAAAATCTCATTTTTATTGCGATCAACGCATACCCAATCGTATTAAGCAGTTCAGTTAAATTCACTTACTAAATTAATAAGTTATCCATATGGATGGACAATAAATTTAAAAAACAATTTAAGCATTCCTTCCTTCCAAAGACATTAAACACATTCCTTCACATATTATAGATAATATTATTTACCTTAATTTGGAAGATGCTCAATCCATTCATCCAGGCCACGAACCTGCTCAGCGTGGTCTTACCGGCGCCGGACACTCCGATGAGCAACAAGTGCCCTTGCGGCTGGCGGAAGATACGGTCGATACGCAACACGTGTTCTAGAACTTCGTCGAACAATACTAATGGCACGTCCAGTTCTTCCTCATAGAATACCTGGAAAATTATGATGATGATGATGATGAGAATCGGATTATTTAAAATATAAAACAAATTTTAAAGTATTTGAAATTAAATATAATTAAGACATAAATTACATTTTACATTTAAAATGTTAATTAACTTAACATTCTCATGGTGTAATAAGACTTTCGTATTACCTTTAGTCTAGCTTTGACATATTCACGAAGTTGATCCCTCTGAACTGGTACATAGTCTTTGCTTAGCCAGTTACTGTATAGAATAGGCCGAGCCAATGCTTGTTCCCTGTTGATACCTATAAGTGAAAATAAAAATATTATTATTAAATCCTTATCCCCTTTAAACAGGTAAAACATAAACATTAAACTCGTACAAGAGTGATGTAAAGTATTTTACCTGGGAAGAATCTCAAAGCGACGTTATCAATATTCTCATCTGTCCATTGTCTTTCGACATCTTCGACCAGACGATCTTGGAACAGACGCAAGGCTTCATGAGCCCAGAGTCGCACCAGGCCTTCTACAGTCAGGTTATCGAGAGGCCTGCACAAAAAATAATGTATACTGTATTTTTTCAATAACATTGTAATATACAATAAAAGTGTCTGGCCACTGACTAATAACTTAACCCAAGACTTAATCAAATTTCTTTTTTTATTTCAGGCAAATGAAAATATCAGATTTCTAAAACAAAGTGGATCTGAAATTAAACGAATTAATTGAGTCAAAGTCACGTTTCACAAACAAATGTGGCATACTAGCTTAAGTAATTTATGTTAGGACTAGCGACTCACCCTCGTTCCACTCGGGTTCGTCCCTAGTTGCGTTTACCGTTTAGCTCAGAGAATAGATATTTTCCCGCAGTGACAATTATTCTAAATGTTGACCCGGATAACCAGTTATCATGATACTAAATTTCATCAAAATCCCTCCAGTGGTTTTTCCGCGATGCGGTTACAGACAGAAAGACAAAAATCTAACTAGAAGAACGAAAGAAATAAGAACTATAGATTCGGCCTCTGTATCGATAATAATGTCTATTTCAATAAGATACAGTTTCGACTCAGTTAGAATAATTTAATTATATTTCCGTATAGATTACCTAATGGCCTCGCAAATGCCGCGCACCCAGCGCGTCATCTCGCGCGGCGAGTACACGTAGTGCGGCTGCATGTCCTGCGTGAAGCGCTCCTGCGAGGCCAGGTACAGGCGCACCATGGCCTGCGTCAGCGGCTCCGCGTACCCGCGCAGCGCCGGCTGCATGCGCAGCATCGCGCGCGTGAACGTGCCGTAGATCTGCACACACACACACACACACACACATCATAGTATATACTAATTAAACTATACACCTGATTGGCCGCTAGTAGATTTCAGCAAATACCGATATCTTTATACATTTAAAATAATAAAAAACACGTTTTGGATCAATTGAGAATAAACTAATGAAAAGTAAACAAAATTCATAATATATATTCACAGATGGCGCTTTTACTTTTTATGAATTATTTCTCGCGGTTAAAAATTGATAAAATCAGTTCTTTTTTTATTCCAATGCAAGATGAATTTTACAAAATATACCATAATATTTTGTAATACTGTATAAAACAAACCAGTTTAACTATTTGCAAATCAACGACGCCTATTATCTATTCAAGCAAACAAACATAGCCAAAAGAATAGCCCGAATTAGCGCTGTCCAATTTTTTATATGGGATGAGGCATATGTACTAGTAAATGTAGTATTATATTATAACCTATGCTAATATCTTAAATGCTCAGATATTAAATAACTAAAATGAATTAAAATAATGATTAGTCTACCTGTTCAAGCGACATCTCCCCGGGATAGTCCACATATATGACGGGCACGTGCCGCAGCAGGCGGTGCGACAGCGGCTTGCGGCCCGGGTCCGTGGGCGGGTTGCACGCGCCCACGAACTGGATGCGCTCCAGGTGCACCCACGAGTGATCTGACAAATTGTTATTGCATAAATAAAATTTAAGTAACAAAATAATTTAATGCGAAAGTTTGTAGGTGTGTATGTTTGTTACTCTTAAGCGATAAGGGCTGGATTGATTTGGGTGTAATTCAGTACACAGGCACGCTATGATTTAGAGTAGCATATAAGCTTCTGCTGTTACTATAACAGGATATTAAGTTTGTCGCTAATTTAATATGAACAGCTTGTCTATAAAATTATTTTAGATTAAAAATGAATACCTGATGCCCGATAAAAGCCTTTATGTTCAAGCAGCTGCCTCAAGAAGGAAATAACGCGCTGCGTGCCGTACTGGTCCATGTCCGGCAGGTTGATCTCGTCGCAGAACAACACAAGCCATTTACCGAGCTGTAAAAAACATCAAAATACCGTAAACACTTAAAACTTTAAAGAAATCATTACAGCAATAAAATATGATAAATCTATATCAAATATAATAAAATAAGCATGTTCATTTAATTTTATAAATATAAATGCAATATTTAAAAATAAACTATTGCAAATCACCTGTACAGGTGCTAATACAACTCCGTTGGGCGTCTTCCGATATTCGCAGTAATGATCGAAGGTCTTCAGCAACAACTCGGGCGTGGTGGCCGACGAGAAGTTGAGACCCACCACCTCCATGTCGGGTAAAGCTCTCAGCGCAGAGAACAGTGTCATCGTTTTACCGGACCCGGGCGGACCGCAGAGTACTGGGGAAAGAGAAATGATATGTAAATATTTCTCACATAAGCACATGAATATTGCTTGAACTTTTTTTAAGGGTTGTTCGTTTGTCTTTAATTAGTAACAGATGAAGTGACTTTTTATTTGGAAATCATTTAGGGTTTAGAACAGGGGTGGTTCCTGTGGCAAATTAATCTATTGAAAAATATATATATTACAGGTACTAATAGATGTATAAATAATAAACAACAGAATTAATGTTCAGATTTAATATAATCTCTACTAATATTATAAAGAGGTAAAGTTTGTGAGTTTGTGACGTTGTAGGGGGTAATCTCTGGATCTACTGAACCGAATTAGATGAAATTTGGTAAGAAGATAGTTTGAGACTCTGGGAAGGACATAGGATAGTTTTTATCCCAGAAATCATCTCCTAATGGGGTAAAATGGAATGAAAGATTTGTATTGGGAAGCAAGATAGGAACGAACCCGAGCGAAGTGAGGGTGAGTCGCTAGTACCTATATATGAGAGGTAGCAAAATATATACCTAAAGGTTTATGCTCAGCCAGCCAAGTGTACAGCAATGCCTCGTGGCGCACCGTGTCCAGCGTGGGCACGACCACGTCGGGGGCCGCCACCTTGTGCGTCTCCACTTCGATTTGCGGCACTTTAGCTGACCACGGCACCCATTCTCCGGTTATTGATACCTAGAGGTTAAAATTATTTCGTTATAATTAATAACTATCGCAAAAACACTATATATAACGATTTGTAATAAAAATATATATTACTTATATTAAAAAAATATTATATTTTGTCTATCTATGTAGTAGTAAAAAACCAAAAAAAAATGTAGTATTATATTATATTCATGTAATACTACCGTATGTTAATGATACTAACTTCAAAATCGATAATATGTTGATTGGCCCCACAATTGGGCAGTTGCATTGTACTGGCCGACCGGATGAAATCGCCCAGCTCATTACGATCCTGTGAATAATTTTAATATTTAATATAATCAGCATTCTTCTATGTGCTAAGATTGTGAGAAAAAAAAATAACCAGCTTACTTTTAGTTTAGCATCACCAGCGAACGACCACAGCAAGGAGTAGACAAGCCATTTCGGCACATACGCCTCAAGTTGTTCATTAGTAATGGGGAAGTCGGGGTGTTGACGATTGTAGCCGAGTATGTTCCTAAAAAACAAGTTAATTACTCACAAAAAATAAATTTCACAATTATTTATTGAAAAATTATATAATAATAATAAATATTTTGCAAGAATATAAGAATTTTTTTTTGCAAGAAATAAAAAAAATCTTTGTTTTAATAATCAACCAGAAAATATTTATCTATTCCATATTGCCAGATTGTCTGCTATTAAATGCCAGCGTCAAATAGCTTAACGCTGTTGCTGCATTGTTCTTTTTTTTTAATATATTGCAGTAAAGTACAAACAAATAAAATATGAACAAAGTAATAATTGCAAGTACCTAACGCCACGGTTAAGCATGGAGTGCAGCGAGGAGAGCGCCCTGTGGCGGGTGAAGTCCATGATGTGGTCGAGCGAGGCGGCGCGCTCCAGGCACTTGACGACGAGGCCGTCGCCGTAGAACAGCGGCTGCAGGATCGCGGCCACGTCGCGTTGCGTCTGGTAATTATATATGCATTTTATATGTCATATAATTCATTATTACCTATCATTTGTTCACATTGGATTCACTATAATTGATAAGGAACAGGTAGCAATAATAGCCATAGTGATACATGCAGTGTTACTACTTATCACTTATTGTAAGTGATAGAAATTTATTTAAATATTAAATTTATAAACAATATTTTATGCTGTTTTAGTTACCAATCACTCATTAGGAATTATAACCTCTCTAATGTTAATTTTGAATATTATTTATATATGTAAAAAAATATTTAACATACATTTTATTGATATTATTTTTATAGCAACAATATACCTGCAATGCCGGGGACAGAATAGTTTCGGCGACATTTTGATCTCCACCAGAACTTGGTGCTGCCATGACAATACTAAACGAGTCTTCTTCACCATCTTCCAAAGGTATATTTCTTAATCTATAATAATAAAGGAAATGTATAATATAAATAAATAGTACTAATATTATTTAAGGTTAAAATAATAAACTATTCAACAAACCTTAGCAGGTAATTTTCGAAGATCATCTCAGTAGTCAGTACGTCTTGCGAGAACCACACCATACCGCACCGTGATACCGTAGCTAGTGTGGCGTACTTCAGGTCTTGTACCTGTAAGTTGTGATATGCATTATATTATTATTATTATTATAAGCCTGTAGTGTCCCACTGCAGGGCAAAGGCCCCCTACTCTTTCTCCACTGGTCCCTATCGTTCACCTTTAATTATATAACATCTATAATTTATATTATAAATATACGAATGTGATCACACTATACACATTTTCATATTATAGAGTGGAGCATCCATACATCGTATTAACTGTTTGATACAATTTCGATTTTAACTGCCTTTCTGAAACTAGGATGGCTTGCTTTACTGCTGTTTTGGTACCAATATTTAGAATTTCGTACTAGTCCTAATACGGTTTAAAAAATAGAAAAGTTCTAAAATCAATTACACTATCGATCATAAATGCAACAGTTTGTTAGTTTCATTTTCACGCTGTAACAGAATAAGGGATAAGAATGAAATTCACAATAGATACACAAATACATTACACTACAAAAAATTAAGTTAAAATCGGCCCAGTACTTTTTGCGTGAAGCAGATAAAACATGTAATAACTATTGTTTTGGTTCTATATTCTGTACACATTACTTTACAGTCATTGTTTTTAAATAATATAACATGTACAGGTTTCGTGAGTTACAATTTTATTATATGTACAGATATCAACACGTAAAGCCTAGCAAGCAGGCACGCACCTCGAACATGACGCGCACGTTGGGCGGCAGCGACAGGCGCTCGCCGTTGGGCAGCGTCAGCAGCTTGTTGTCGTCCAGCACCGAGTTGAGGTTCTCCACCCACTCCGGGTCCACGTCGCCGTCGAATATGATCCACTGCCGCTTGTTGATCTCGCCGCGCACGTTGTCGATTATCTTCCTATATTTTAGATAATATAAATAAATTATATATGTCGTGACATTAACACACAGCACCGTCTAGTTCCATGGTAAGCTACGAGGCTCGTGTTACGGATACCAGATGGTAGATACACTACACATATATAACTTTAAATACATACATATTATAAATATAAACACCTATGACTGGAGTACAAACATTCGTGCTCATCACACAAATGAATACCCGCCGCGAGACTCGAACCCGCGACCGCTGGCACAGCAAGTACTACAAACTGCGCCAAACGTGTCATCTAATAATTTATTTTATTTTAACATATAATAGGAAGTCGGAGAGTTTATGTATTAGTTAATTAAGTTAACTAATTAAGACAAAAAAAGGGCGGTTTGTTTGCTTTAAGACAATTTTCTAAAAATTTGAAATAAAGCCAAACTTTACTTTGAGAAAAAATATATATAGCAAGGTTTATTCTATTAATAATTTTTAAAGACTAACCTTAGGATATGTGTGAATAACCCATCCGTCCATTCACGAGTGTTAGGATCCAGTACACCATACAGAGTTTCTTTAGACATCGCTTTTGGATCGATAACGTGAGCAACTCCCTCGATACCTTCAAACCTAAATAACAAAAATAATAAGATTATTAAATATAACATATTAATATAATATTCTATAAAAATATTACTTCAATATAAAATAATCCGCATTCTCGGTTATCTGTAAGAAATCGTTCTTAATTATAAGGCCGACTTTGCACATTCGCTGTATGGCTGATAAGAATTTATATGTCGTATATTATATGTATATATGCTTAATAAAGTAGTATATAATAAATTAATAAATTTTAATTACCGTTCTAGTGCCTTGAGCAAAACGCGCCAAGCGGTAGACTTCCCGCTTCCCGAAGGACCGACCATCATCAATCCATGATTTAACTTGCAAATCTGGTACAGTTGCAGGACCTAAACATTTTAATGACGTAATGAAAATTATGTTAATTAAAGATACAACACTTTGACAGGAGATGACTTTTGAGGAAAGTTAGCACAAATCAAACGACTACAAAAAATTACAATTAGCAATATTAATTGCATTATACTAGATAGGAATAATCTATATACTTCAAAAACAAACCTACCGAGCGCTTTTTAAAAGTACATAAAATAAAAGCTTGCCGTTCAAGTTGTTTGGATAAAAAATGAAGTCATGTTGTGAAGTGAAGTCAATGTGTGTGCAATGGACAGGCAAGAAGTGCAAAGAAAACTTTGCGATGGTGCACTATAAGGACGACTTGTACAATGTACATTGTACGTTTAATTAAAATATATAAGCACCGTAATTCGTATAAATGATAATGTACTGCATGATTTTCTAAAAGAACGAATGTTTCAACAATACACAGTAAATTTTTGAAAATAATTACATACAAATTTAATTATTTCACAAAACATATTTTATAAAGTGACAAATTAATTTAATATCTTTCGTTACATATTCATAAAATTATAAATTAGCGATAAGTTAAGTAAAAGCTTATAATCTGAGTTTATACAAGAGAGGAGTTAGAGACACAGGGGCAAGCGCACGAACAGACACACAAACAGGCGACGGCCGGCACCGGACTGACCTTCTCTATCCACGTGCTGTGCTGCGCGCGCGACGCCGCGCTGCGCCTCTACGCCGTACGGTTAGCATGGAAACCATAGCGTTCACTCACGTTCCTCTTACACCGTACGCATGCGTGGACTATGCTTTATGGCTTTTTTATTCATAATCATTTTCTTTTATTTTGCAGAGTTACATATAAGATTTCACGTCAACGTGACGCTTAGAACATTTTCAAGCTGAGATGTTTGATTCTCGTTTAAATGTTTATATATTACACACAAAAAATATTTGTTGCATACTGCATAAAAATATTTTCAAATATTTCTTTCTAGATATTTTCATAATTTGTGTTACTGTATGTTATAATTAACGTAGCGACTTGAATTTAAATATAATCACAATGATCATTCCTACTTCAGAATTTGCTCTCTCAAATAAGCATAAAACACAGTCCCATGTAAAATAAAAATGAACTTAATAATAAAGCAAATATTATTACAAGTAACGAGTTATTATCCATTTGTTAAAATTGTTAATGATTGTTAGAATAAATAAATAATTAAATTCCATCACCAACTATCGTTTTCTATAAAGAATGAATTTTTTTGATCATGATAATTTGTAAGTACATTTAATATATGGTATATTGGTCTATGAATAAATAATAATAACTGTGCACAGCTAAAATTATTTTAAATATATGATCAAATAATAACGAAGTGAATGATGCTTTTCGAATTCAATCAGCTGATGTTAATATCCTTGACCAATATTAATAGTAAAAATGATTATATTATATTCTGTTATTAGCCACAGTAGATATTTGTACAACATGAAGTATACCTTTTCCATCCAAGTGTTGCCTTGTTCGTCTCCTTCGCCGCACACCAAAAATTCTTCAGCGCACACAGCGCGAATTTCATTCTTGAGGCCTTAAAAACAACATAATATTATTATAAAAATTATAAAATAGAAAAAATACTATTCTTCCTTACGAAAATAGGAATATACACATATTATAATGTAAGTAAATTATAAATAAAATTAATAAATTTTAACAGATTTACCAGTCATTTCAGCCCTAGTGTACCCAACGTTGGGGAAGACGTCGTTCAATAGTGAGAAGAGCAGCGGTATGTCCTCTGCCACCAGCTTAGGCACCATGGTCTCGCACACCGACTGTATGAGGATGTCTTGCTCGGGGAGGGACTCGGCGATAGACGCTTCGTCGGGGGCCTCCGTACCGCGTTCGATTAGATTCTCCTATAATGTAAATTGACGATATTATATTTCAATAACACCTTTGTACTTCGTAATTACGTTTCTAATTAAATTGTATATTTGTATTATACTATAAAAATATAATATTTTACATCTTTTCTTACTGGATTCTAATTATTTTTTATAATTATTATACAACACTAATGTCTTCCTTAAAGTTATGGGATTTTTAATGACAATCTTATTAATTTTAGAAGACACTTAATTATGAATTTACAATGAAATTAGCTAAAATGTTTAAAGCATTAATAGTGTAAATAAAAAGTCAAACATAAAAAAGATTTAAAGTGGCTAAAGCAAGTTGAATCAGCCATAAGCGTATATAACGCTCAAGCGACCAATAGGATGAAGGGCTACTTAAATATACACTAGACTATAAGGGAATTTAACCTCTTATTCTAAATAAAATTTACAAGTACATAGTACCTAGTATACAGTTTGGAGACTCGTTATAATCTAGGTATCTACAAAAAGTATGATTATATTTTTATCATAACGTTTTCAAGACATATTGTTTAAAGTTTTTTTTTAAATCAGAAACTTTAAAAATATTATGACGTCATGATATTATCATGATTTATCTTAAAAAAAATATCCTCTATTGCTACCCTTTATATTAAAAAAAACAGATTTTAAAATTCGTTTTTATTAATAAAATACAAGGAAAGTCTTGAGATGATAGAAAACTATATGCAGACTTTTATTTTACAGAAGATAAAGAAGTTGCTAGAGGAGTAAAGACCACGTAATTACAGCGAAGGCACTAAACTAAAGTATCAGATTTAAATACTATTTATAAACACGATGCATATAACGACACATAATATCATAAATATAATATTTTATAACATTGACATATTATACTAGAATGCCCTCACAAATTTAGAAACGGATGTGGACTTCGGACCGTAATTGTGTTGATGTGATGAGAGTTCTGAGTGTGTTGATAGTTTCATTCCCTGCAATTACCATAAGGATATCCAAATTGAGCAAAGGGATCGCCTTTTACACCATCTTTATACCATAAAGTGGCACATGTCGCGATTTCTTTATGATGAACAATTAAATAAGATATTTAGTGTTTATAATATTAGTAGTAAACACACAAACACACATTCCATTAGTTTAATTAGGTATAATAAAGTAGTGTAATTGATAATGTCTTAATCGTTCATACCTTAATCTTTTGTATGCGATCACGCTTGACGTTGCCGGCGGAGACCAGAACAGACTTCAGAGCGCGAAGACCGAAGTCATAGTGAGATTGATTTGACAGTTGTTCATCGCAAAGTCTACAAAGAAATATTCATGTTTTAATGGGACCTGACAGAATATACATATCATTCAACAAATGCACTTAAGTGACGATTAAAAACAATATTCTTCTCCATTCTACGTTATATTGAAGAAATAATCTGTGCTCAAGTGGCACGCTTCGAAGCCATAAACAAGAAAATTGAAAAACTTTATTTCTATCTAGACACTAGATCTTATATTTGAATTGACTTATGACTTACTTAAAGAATGGTACAATCTTGCAAGCCAATTTTTCCGCAGTTCTAAAACCTTGACTGAAGAGCATCACCTCGGCAATTAGCTGCCTATCAGGGGTGGTCATGGCGAGACTTCTGAACAGTTTCTTCAAGTTATCAGGTAGGTTGGACCGTCCGGCGTATCCAGGGTTCATGGTGATGAATATAGCCATGTCTTGGCTTACACGCACTTGTTTGCCTACCAGTTCTACTGTTATAGATTTGCCTGTAAACATTATTAAATGATATTTTATGAATTAAAAATTATTACATTAAAATAAGTAAATATTTCTTCATTATCAATAGTAATGTAAAAAATCTATAAATATAATATGTGAAATGTGAATAAATATAAATATGTACTTGTGTTATCTCCTTCCTGGTGGCTCTTGAGAGCTTCTTGAATAGTCTGCACTTGCTGCGACACGGCTGACAACATTCTTTCTTCAAGACGATTGAACTCGTCGAAACAACCCCACGCACCGACCTATACAAAAATAAGCGTTTGTTGAATAAATATTGCATATAATATATGAAATTCGCTTATACATATTTTGTATAAGCGAAGTTCTTATATATTGACTAAGTAATTAAAAAGTAACATATCAGGCTTAGCTGTTTCTTTATATACAAAATGAAATCTAGATTCAGAAATTTGATTTATATGAGCAATATATACAAAAATTATTATGAAATAGTACTCATACCTGGCAAAGACCGACAAAGATTCGTCCCATGGCTTGGAAGTCAAAGGTTTCGTCGCAGTTGAAGACCAACACGAACCGGCCTAGTTGGTTTCCGAGCGCCTTCACAGACTCCGTCTTACCCGTACCGGCGGGCCCTACGGATTATCGTAATAAATGATTTTTAGTTTTAGACGTGATATATAAATACTTTATAATTTGCGTTCGTTATTTTTTATAAAGGGTAAATTATACAATAACTGTTTTGAAAATGAACTTTAAAGCTCACATTATTTAGATATCGTAAATACACATAACCTAGTATAAATTAGTAAAATATAGCTTACCAAATGGAGATCCTCCAAGTCTAGCTTCCAAAGCCTGAGTCATAGTGAGATAACAGCGGTCCGTCAAAGGTGTTTGTACGAGACGGTCTTGCACACCCAGATACTCAAATCCATAGAGAAATTTAGCATTTGCCATGTGTATTGTCAGTTGCTGCAGAACCTGTAAGTAAATACAGCAAAATTGCGTATGCATTAGATGTTATTAAAGTAGGCCATAAAAGATGCTACAAAATATTTTTCAAATAAATATTACTTACATCGTTATTCCTAGGGTCGAAGTAGAACCGCATTTCGCAAAGCCATTCGAAAGATCGGGGACTATTCACTTCAGATGCGATCAAACGCCGCGTCACAGTACGTTTGTGGACGAATTCGTTGATCTGTAGTAAAAGAAATAGTAATAATAAAACCAAAAATAACAGTTACTTTTTTTCTCGTTAACATCTCCTTTGGAATCTGGATATGTGTATGTACTCATGTACTCAGCCCTTTTTTATCGTCCCACTGCTGGGCACGGGCCTCCCTTCAGTACGAGGGGAATCAGGCCATAGTCCACCACGCTGGCCAAGTGCGGGTTGGCGGACTTCACATGTCTTTAGAAAACTTGCTAAGTTCTCTCAGACATGCAGGTTTCCTCACGATGTTTTCCTTCACCGTAAGGCAAGTGGTAATCATGTTAGAAATGATTCGCACATGAAAATATCAGAGGTGCGAGACCCGGGATTTGAACCCGCTTCACTCGGTTTCTCATATATGTGTAATTGTATATGTGTATAATATCTGATAATATCTTTAAGCATCTGTGCAATGAAAACGTAAATTTAGTTATAATCATTTTGAAATGAGTCATCGCTCAACGTCAACGAATGCTTAGCACAATTGATCAATCTAATTTGTTTAAAAGACAAGGCTCATAACTACTTAACAAATATAAATTCGTACTTCCAATTTATTAATATCCAGTGACACTAACCATATCAATTCATACCCAAATAATATAACTCAACAACAATAATAAAATGAGCAATATCAAACTTACAAGATGCTCCAATTTCCTCCTCCGCAGCGGCGGCTGTTCCTGCAGCACGGAGTCGGCGAGTATGTTCAGCATGTTCTCTACGTGTTGCAGCACGCGCTTGAGCTCGCCGCCGCCCGCCAGCGCCGCCTCTACGTCTTCTGACCATAGGATCTGAACTGCTAGGACTACGATTTGGGCCTAGAAATAAATATGATTATTATATTCATTTATTTACTAAATTACTTAATATGATAATAAGACTCTCTAAGATACTCTCCTGATCACGATTGCTGTAAAGTATTCGAAACGTTAAGAATCTAAAATCAATAAATTCACAATAAATTACGAAAAGAAAGTAGTATGATAATAAGAATTTAAAGATTTTATATTTTCTTCCTTGATTTTGTGATCATAAAGTGTTCGATATTTTCGTTAAACTGAACATTTTTCTATTAAAAGCTTTTTTTTTAATTTTATTTAATTGAGAAGTTGCTGGTGTTACATCCCCATGCCTTCAGAGCACTTTAAGCCGTCGATTCTGCGTAAGCGTTCTTTACTTCACTTTTATACTAAATTTAACAAAACTCACTTGATATTTGTCACACCAATCGATGAACTTCTGAGCGTCGACATTTCCATCTTTGAACTGTTTCACGTCTCCAACAGCGTCCTTAAGGCGACAGGCCAAAGTCACACGCATTTCACGCTCCACCATTGAAAGCCATGAATTGATCTTTGGATTCTCTACAGTCGATACCGGTGAAGTGAAATATACCTAAAAACAATAAAACTTATATTAAGATAGTTGTAAGTATTGAAAGAGCAATGTTTCTTTAACATTTTTTTTTATAGGATAAACGTAACATATGTGCCATTATGGTTTATACTTTTCTTACTAGTAATAATATATACGCGAAAGTTTGTGGGGATGGGAATGGATGTATGCATGTTACTCTTTCACGCAAAAACTATTAAACGGATTTTGATGAAACTATAGTAATATAATTTATACCACAGGCATATAATTATCAAAATATAATATTACATAATTGAATACCGCGAATGGAGTCGCAGTAAAATGCCAGTTTATAACATAAAACACGTACCTCTTCACCCTCCCGCGAAGCTATGCCATTAATAACTGTGTTGTCTTCATTGAGTATAATAGCTGCGACGCCTGCGAACATTTTCTTGAAGTGTTTTTGTAGACGAGCGATGTTCTTGCTGTTACCAATAATTTCAAGCAAATCTTCATCTCCCACGAAGTAGAAGCTAAAGGGATAGAACACAAAATAAAAATATTAAATGAGAACTGAAATTCAAAATAAATAATTAATTTTAAGTACATATTTTTATGCATTGACTTTTAGCAATATATTATTATACAATAGTGTTCCCGTGGGATATTAATAAATACTTTAAGTTTCGAGATAAAAAATAATATTATGAGAAAAGCTCTCTACCCTATTTTCTTGATCGTATACAAAAAAAAAACCATCAAACAAACATACATTCTCATTTATAATATTAAGTATGTATGGATATGTTGACTCACCGCGGGAAGCTGCTTCGTTCCCTCTCCAGATATTCTCCAAGAGCCTTCTGTATCTTGCCGAGCAAGTCCGCCAAGCGCTCCAGCGAGCGCTGCACGCCGGGGATGTTGAGCACGTCCATCACCATTGGAGACTTGCCCACTTTCTTCATCAGACCTAGGAACTCTGAACTGTAGAACAAGATAACAATATTAATTTTGAATTTTTTTAAATAATAAAAAGCAAAATAATGTTTATAACTAAAACAACAAAATATTTTTAAGATTGATTACTATTTTTTTTTAAATCAACATTGTGCATGTATTAAGAAATAATATACAAATAATCTGAGAAGCTACAGCAAGAGGTTTCTAGTGGTTGAAAGTAACTCTGAATAGAGAAAGGATGCGAAAAAGTCATGTTCAACTTAACTTGTGAATATGGTTTTATATTACTTTGCCTTTAATAAACGCACAAATCTTTTTGGTGGCTCAGAAATTAGCACGAGTGGTGTGAGTAACATATTTTAGGTATCAAAGGGAGCGAGTAGCTGAGCAGTAACATATTTTAGGTGACTCGCGCCTAAATTTTGAGATCTCAAAAATATTTGCGCGTACTGTACTCTATTGAGCAATAACATTGTCAGTATATCAGTGTATACCTTATACTTTGGAATCTGCTAGTTTCCACCGGCAACAAGGTCTTGATATCGGCCGACCCGCTGAAGATGCCCTCGAGGTACACCCAGCGACGTTGCACGTCGATCCATACATCGAATAGGGCGTTGATACGATTCAATTTCTCTTCCCAAGTTAGCGCTTCTTCTTCAAATACCTATAAATATTAATAATTAGATATAACATAAAATACAAAGAAAATAGTTAAATAATCTATTGTATATTTAACACAAATAATAATAAGTATAGAAATTATACCTTATAATATGGTGACAGCTTCATAGCGGCAACACTGTTGATGTGCTCTTTAACTTTATTAAACAGGTCATCCCAGCCACGAATAATCTTGCATTTGTTTTGGTAATTGATCAAATCCAGTTCATAGCTTTGCCAAGATTCGCGAACCTAAAAAGTAGAATTTAAAAAATTAACGATGTTACCGAAAAATATTATCATTTGTTTTTATTATTATCTTTTTTATATATAGTTTTTTGACATAGACTTAAACTTTGCTGGAATCTCTATTATATATATTCAATTTAGTCATTGGTAGAAATCGCAGTTTTAACACAGTATTTTTTTTTTAAACAAAACAAATTGACGAAAAGCGTGACTTCTTTGATATTCCGCTATACTATTAAAAACCCCACCTGCACTTAAGACTACGATATTATGTCACCTGTTTCAAGAACTCCTCGAGCGCCATCTCGCCCTGCGCCACGGACACCACGTCCTTGACGGTGTGCTCGTTGTGCAGCAGGTCGGCGTCCCACACCTGCCCCAGCGTCAGCTCCGACAGCGCCCAGTCCACCTTCAGCGCGCGGCACAGCTGGCGCCAGTGACGCTCTTTCAGAGCGTCCGATTTCAGTTCTACGATCAGCATGTTCACCTGGAAGGGTCGATTAGAATTATATTTGTAATTGTCTCGAAAAATATAAGTAGTCATTATTAGAAACACAAAATATAAAACATTAGTATTTATACTACAATTGTATAAGTTTGTGGAGATGTCCAGATATTTAAGTCACGTAAAAATCCTTATACAGATTTTGATTGAAGATAAATCATGATTTACACTAAATATAGTTTTTTTTTTATTCCTGGTAGATCATTCTTACGGGATAACAGTTCAACTTTAATTCTATTTTAATAACACTTATTCTGAAAATGCCATAAGAAAATTCTTTACGTATGTATTTGTATATACCTATTTCTATTTCTATATACGTAATAATAATAAATATGTCACACAATAATTTCAAAGATAGATGTCATTGTTGAAAATAATTATATGAAAGTACCTTAGTATATGATTGTAGCAATTTGCGGACGTATTCGTAGCTGTCGTACATACGCAAGCGAGCTGGGAGCTCTTTTAATTCATTCAGCATTGCCTCTAGTTGTTGTCTGTGAAAGATACATATTTAGAAAAATTCAAGTATCAGTATTGAGAAACGCGACCAATAAAAAAATAAACTTAAAAGCGTAAATTTGTTGATTTAATTTCATATTAAGTAAAATATTATTTAATATTCCAGTATACCTCAATTTCCTGGGCTGCACAGAGAGCCAGGGTTTTTCTCTAATGTCATCAATTTGTGTCCAGATCTTACTGAGCGAGGACCAAACTCCGCGCAAATCTTGTAACTCTTCCAGTGCAACCGTCATACGCTCGTTGTTAACGGAGCTGCCTACAATTTTAGAGAGAATATATAAGTTAGAAATTTTATAACAATTAAGTTAACATTACATAAATAACATTTTTATAAAAAAAATAGAATTTATGTTTATATACATATACTATAATAAAATATAACAATATCTAATGCACACTGTAATTTAATCCTAAGAATTGCCCTATATAAATAAATGCAGGCGAATTACCAGTATCATGCAACTCCAAAGCTTCCTTAGCCTTAGCGACGTTATCCCTCTCGTCCTTGAGGCGGGTGTAGCGCGTCTCCATGGCCTGCAGCCGCGACAGCGCGTCCTCGGGGCGCGTCGAGCCGTCGGTGGGCTTGCTACGTTCCCACTCGGCGAGGAACTCCAGTGTACGAGCTTCCACTGCTTTGTCTTCTGCTACTATCTTTTGTTGGAGAGACGCTACCTAAAAGACAATTTTGAAAATAAATATAAGTTTTAATCTGTAATAGCAGATTATATATTTATTTAAGTATGTCTGTTTTATTACATATTCTAATAATAGTCACGTACTTGAGTCTGAATAGAAGAATCCTTCCTGCGCATTATTTCGTTAAAGGCGCTCCATTCACCTTCAATGTTGTCCACGTGCAGCCATTGTGCTGGGAACTGGAATCTAAAAAATATTTTTTTTTAAATAAAGTGTAAATCCTAAACAAAATTAAATTTAGTAGATAAAGTTATTAAGGAACAAGATATAATACAAAAATAAAAGTGAACAATTAAATGAACCTTTGTCGTTCAAGTATGCGTTGCGCCTCCCTATAGATGTCGACTTGTTTCTCCCAGGCTAAAACTTCTCGTTTTAGTTGTTGCACGTAAGTAATTAGTGATACTGCATCGCTGGTGGAGGCTGCCTCTGTAGAAACCATAAAATACAGTATATAATCAAAATAAGTTTAATACAAAACCTTCAATTTTATCTAAGAGTTTTTCTCATTAAATCAAGCTGGTAAGATAAAAATGTAAGATTCATTATACTGATAAAAATATCTTTAAATCTAGAATGATATAAAAACTAGTAGTTTCTTCATTCACTGTGTCTGCAAATGAATTACTTTAAAATAAGAAAGTTGCCTCCTTTTTTAATTCAACTCTTTCTCCATAGAAGAAGGAGATATATCTCTCTTAGAAGCTATCTCTTTCGGTAGTAAGGCTGCCATTTATTTCATGTATATTATTTTGTATTACTAATGTGTTTTGTACAACAAAGTATTTACATATACATATAAGAAACAAATACCAATAGTCTGCTGCTCCAGCTGCCCCCGGGACTTGGCCAGCCTGCCGTGGAACTGCACCATCTCGCCGCCGAGCAGCGCGCCGAACTTGCCGAGCACCTCCTTGTGCCACGCGTCGTACTTCAGCGCCACCTTGCTCTGCACGCGCGCGAAGTCGATCACCACTGGCCCGTACTCGCGCCGGGTGTCCGACGTGTCGAACGTTGTGCGGGATTTTCTATTAGAATGTGTTTAATTTAGTGTACGAACATAGTATACACTGTATATAGTAGGTAGCAAAATAGTATAATCAATTTTTAATTCAACTTCAAACGTCATATACGAAAATGAAAATCTTATATAAGTCCAGATTGCTCCAAGGAACCCTACTCCATTTTTTTCCTTTTTAACTAAACGTAAATGAAATAACAGAACTGATTGATTTTTTTTAATATCAGGATATTACTTGCTTGCAAATCCTAAAGAATAATTCAGTTAAAATATACAATAATCTTACTTGATGTCATTCAAGCACTTGATCCACAGAGTGATGTCCTCTCCGAGGCGTCCATACAGACTTTCAGGTTGAAGGTCCCACAGGGCTTGGTAGCTGTTGAGCAAATATATAAGGTAATTAAAAAACAAACCTATCAATTATTTAATAATATAAAGAGGATAAGAAAATTAATATCATACCGTAGCCATTCATCAACGTATTCACGCACTTGCGATATCTTCTGTTCGATAGCATCGTAGGCATTTTCGAGTGGCGACGAGCCGCCAGGCAACTTTGTTAGTAGGTTTCTGTATGTGGCTGTTTGAGCACGCGCTACGCCCACTTGATATCTATTAAAAAATTAAAGATAGTTTAATATACAAAATATGTCATGTAAGATTACATTTCTAATATTAAATTATAAAAAAAAAATAATAAACTTTAAAAAACGGTTGTAGTTGAATTATAATAAAAAAATTTTTTTTATAGATATTATAATTGTGTTTTTAATTTTTTGTCCTTAAGACTAACACGATCACATGTTAAGATCATAAGAATATATGAAGTCACTATATTTTCAAATAGTCTAAAAATATATAACAGGTACCTGGTGCTCTGCAGACGGTGCTGGCTGGTGACGACGGCCTGCCACGCGAACATCTGGCGCATGAGCTGGAAGCGCGCCTCCTCCAGCGACGGGAACAGGTACATCTGCTGGTTGGTGATGCGCACCTCGTGCACCACGCGCGCGATCTGGTTTAACACGCACCATTCATTATATTTCTATAGATTCTCTACAGGTGCGCCATTATATATTGCATATATCCTTTTTAAAATGAACCGACCCGAACTATTAGGCGAATTATTCAGTACGTTTTAGTTAAATTTATGTTAAACCATGATTGCAATTTTTTTTAATATTTGAGTGTTTTTAAATAAGTGTTTGTGTCATCTACAAATACTATAATATAAAATCCCCAGAATATAGAATCCCCATAATATAAAATATTCGATCATTATTTTTATTTAAATATTCAATAATTATTCGGCAAAATAAACGAATAAAAAATACGATACTATAAAAATACTAATTACCTATTTATAATATTTAAAAACACCTAGAGAACACAAAATTTTTTTTACCCATAACAACTGTAAATAAATGCGCCATAAAATACTAACCTGAGGTTCTCCACCAGGTTTGTGAGTTGGTTCGGCAGGTGAGTATGTGTCCATAGAGAGATCCAGCTCATTGGTCTTCCCCAGTAATGCCATAGTCCATGCTTCAATACCAGCTTGTAAGCGAGCTGCAAGGCTCTTCTCAACCTACAATATAAACACATTAATAGTAATGCCTATAATTTTTACTTACTGGAGAGTGTCACTGTCACTATTCATACATATATTTTCAATAAATTCTGTTCCCATTTTTAAAACGAAATAACATTTTACATCACTTCCTTAGATTTCTATAGCAGATGGATACATTTACACCACGATAATTCTCATACAATTATATTTATCCCAAAGGGAACAGAATCCACAACTACCGACATAGTGACATATCCAAACCACTACGCCAAGTTAGACTTTTACCATGTATTAATAATAAAAATTATTCATAATAACTTCAAATAGAAACATATATTTCACCTCCTCATCCAACCGCTGGACCCACAGATGCAAGTTGCTATACTGTCGCAGGGACAGGTCGTCGATAGCGCGTTGAAGCCTGCTAAGAATGTCTGCCAAAGATGGTGCTGAGTATGGGCATGTTTCCAGCGAGCGAGCATCTACAGAGATCTGTTCCTCTACAGCTAATAAATCTTCAACCTGACAGAACATATTGTTGGTGAAATTTATTATAATACTATTTTATTTCACTAGTCACTACATATATAATTTGAGACATCTGTACAGATTGGAGGTTACTTATTACATAATTTTACTGGATGACTTTGAATAAAATGTTCCCCTAATATGCATCAAATACAAGCACTCCATAATAAGTATTGCTGTTCAATTGTATTTAAGGAAAATAACAACATTAAAAATGTAACAATCTATACAAATATAAATACTATTGTTAAAAAAATTAAAGTAATTATTATCATTCTCTCAACACAAACATTTTCTGATATTACCTTCTCTTGGAACAGAAGAACGACTTCACTCAGCTTCTGCACATATGGGTCCAGTTTGTACGACTCCCACACTAGGGCCATGCCTTCCGACACTTGGAACAAAACGTCCCGACGCAGTCCCGCCACTAGTGGTATTATAGACGCCTTATCACGGATCTGGAAAGTTAAAATTGTTTTTATACCTATTTCAAATAAAACACAACTTGTATTATTAAACGTCTTTTGAATGTTATTATGATACTTATGATTTTCAACTTTAATCATCGATAAAAAGTACTAGCTACACAATACCATGCAAAAGTTCTCTTAAAACTGTCACCAATTGATTTTAGGTAATTATTATAGTTGAAATAAATATATAACAATGTAAATTGAATCTTAAATGCAATGCTTAAAGTTGTTTTTACAAAAAATAATAATTAAAAGCGCGCTCACATTTTGAAATGAGCGCTCATTCGGTGCGGACATTAATTGTCACTGATTGTGTTTCTAGTACTTTTTTGATCGACGACTCTAATAAAAGATGAAATATGTTTTTAAAGTAAGATTTGCAGTTGGATATATATTTTTTGTATAACGATTGACGTTTTATAATACAAAGTTATTAAAATGTATAGAGAGATAAAACAGCTCGCATTAAATAAAATGAAAAAGCTTGTCTTGATAAATACAGATAAAATTTGGTATTCAAAATACACTAAGCGAAATGCATAAGATATTTTTCGCAGAGTAAATAAATTTATTGTTCAAGCAAAATAATATGTAATATTTGAAAGCAGATAATGCGTTATAGTTCGAAGCATTATTGATAACATGCAGCCTATAAATAATCTACCTTTGTATGGTTCCTATTATTTAGCTGCATAAATCAAATACACATGTGTTAGTGACATTGTCGTTATTGTATCAAGTGTATTTTCAACTTCTTTAATACGAAGAAGGTATTAATGTGCCAATTAATTTTGTACTATATTTCCATAGTGCTTATATGTATACTGTGATAACTCAGCGTATTTTTATAATGAAATACACAAACAAAAATAATAATTACCTTTTCTAGCGTACGTTCGTAAGTGCGTACACTTTCGATGAGTGAAATTGCGAACGGATACAGCTGATTTGCTTGGTGGGCTTTGTTCACTATAGCCAGTGGCACTCTATAGGAGGAAGTTTAAATAACTTTATTAAAAATAACTGTTATTATATCTAAAATATATCTTGTATCAAGTGAAATTGATATATGAAAATATTCTTACTTGCCTATACTTTCATATGACATAGATTTTTTTTATAATCTTTAAATTTCGAATTAAATATAATATGCTTATAGATTATATCATACCTGAAACCCAAGTTCTTGAGGTTACGAACTTCTTTATATAGCGTAATAATTTCAGGTAAGAAGTTGACTTTTAGTTTCAGGACAGTGCCTGTCTTGCTGGAACGAGCGCGCACTGATTCTATAGCAAAGATACGACCCGACACACCTAAGTTTCGTTGTTGCACCTGAAAGAGAGTTTCATATAGTTAATACAATTTAAAACATGTACTTAATATTTGCAAAAAAAAAACTTCCTTTAAAATAGTAGTGTCGATTTATGTCGAGTGATCTATGCATAAAGTATCCTGAATACTCATCATGAATATGCATTAACCATGAATTTTGGTGTTTAAGATACCAAGTAGCCCAGTGGTAACGTGTTCGCTTGGGAAACCAAGTGATGCGGGTTCAAATCCCGGATTTTACACCTCTAATATTTTCATGTGCGAATCATTTCCAACATGCATACCACTTGTTTTACGGTAAAGGAAAACATACATCAAGAAAACATAATAACTAACTACGAAGTAATAAATATCCAAGTTATTCCGAGTATTTTTACCTTGCGAGCCCAATCGTCGAAGACTTCTTGAGTATCGAGTTTCAGACGAAAACTGTCACCATCAGCTTTGAGTTTTTGCCCTTCAATATGATTTTCCCATCCTTTGCCTAAAATTAATTTATTGTATTAAAAAATAACCGTTTTAAATATAAAATTATGTTGTTAATTTGTATTTAAAATAAAAGCATCTTACCTAGAACATCCTCAACACGTTTGAGATAAGCTGTAAGTTGGTGATCTATTTGCTTAGCCCAGATGATAGACCCAGCGACTGGCGGCAAGTCGCGGACAAGAGACAAACGGCTGCATTTTGACTGGGGATACTGCACCTGTATACATTATAATGTAAACAAAGATTGAAAGATTACTTATTTTTATGGTATGATTAAGTGTATTAGATGTTCACTTATGTACAAATACAAACGCTCGTAAAAATAGTAATATAATTTACAATACTTAAGGGGCACTTTATTAACTAGACTTAACAATCCTGGCAACTCTCTTAAAAATTATATCAGTTTTTTTGCTAAAATTACAATGGGTATGCCTCATTTGCGTTTATATTCCACTTATGTCGAATATAATGAATTCAAATTTACAGAAAATTTCACTGCAGGTAAAAAATGAAATCATTTTTTAGGCAAGAACAAATATATCTACAAAGTCACTGGAACCGATGCGGATGGCACTAGAACGGCATAACAGTATTTCGGTGCCAATTCTTGTTTTGTAGGTAGGTGCATATGTCATAACTTTTAATAACTTTGTTAAGTTACTATGACTGACATATTTAAATTTAAAATGTCAAATATTCGGGTAAATCTATGAAAGTATAATGGGCAATCTAACCTTAAACTTCTCGTGCAGCGCCTCGATGTCGTCCTTGACGCGCTGTATGAGCTGCGTCTGGTACTCGCGGATGGCGCCGCGGATGTGCGGGCGCACGAACAGCGCGTTGAAGCGCGAGAAGATGCGGAACATCTCGTTGGCGTTCTTGGCGGTGCCGAGCTGGTCGCGCAGGTGCGCCGTGATGCGCGTCTCCACGCGGTCTGGCGGGGTTCACGGTTATATTATTACTATTATTTCGAACAATATAATTTAGTTTATAATCGAATTCAAAAGAAAAGGCATTATTTATAAACATAGAATAAAATTAGTACTAGCCAAATTCAAAAGGTGGATCCAAATTTTTATTGTTCCAAATAAAAATATATAACAAATATTGTAAGGTACTTTGAATGCCATTTTTGATTTTTTTTGTATCCATTTTTGTTCATGGCAGGCTACCTTTAACAACTATATAATGCTTTTGAGACATCTTTGATCTTAAACCTTAGTCTCTCCCATGACCATGACTGCTGTAAAACATTCGAAACGTCGGGAACCAAAAATCAAAGTAAAATTCGAGAATTTTATTTAAAAATTGCTTATATTTTAATTAACCATAAGAAAGAAAGCTTTAAAAATCTAAAGATTTATTACCAATCCTGTCTTCATAGCGTCGCACGGCGGCTTCCCACGCATCGCACCCTTCACGCGAGATATCTAAGCAGTCCACTTCTTTCACATTCTCATACGCCAAGTTCACCTGTTATAGAAAATAGTTACTATTAATATAAAACCAAAATCTTAAATCAAAATATCTTATTAAGTTACATATTAAACATTAAAATTGAATGGTAGTCTTAGGAGAATTGCTTTCTGAGCCGGTGGTAGATTCTACAGTCTTACATACTGACATCTAATTTAAATTATAAAAATGTAAAAAGTGACGATTCAAAATTGCGTTTAAAAATCTATTTGAATAAAGTATATTTTGATTTGATTTGGTACAAACTAACCTATTCAAATGTAAAAGCAAAAAAAGGAATAAATAAATTTCACTCAACATGAGTCTTGAAGTTTTTAAATTTAAAATAATAACACCTCCAGATAAATTTCTAAGCAATTAATTAAAATTCTAAGAAATCTATTGTTAACTGACACGCCGGCGTGTCCGCAGTCGGAGGGATTAATGAATTGAAATTAAAAGAAAAATGTATGAAAAAAGTAAGAAAATGTGTACCTCAGCGATAGCGTTAGCGTCAGCGGCGTCCATGGTGAGCGAGTGCGGCTGCGCGGGCTCGCTCGCCGCGCCCGGCTCCGCGGCGGCCGCGGCGCGGGGGCGGAGCACCTGCAGTACATAGGAATTGTATAAACTGTTGATATTAAAAATGTTACAGTATATTAACACCTATCAACATTTATTACCAAGTAAGTAGTTTCTAAGTTACAAATTTGACCGACCCGACCCGAGTGAAGAGATGGTGAGTCATTAGTAATTAATATTTTCTTATGCCTTTTAAAACACAAAGTAATCAACAACAAAGCCAAAGTATATACATGCTACAGCGTACCCGCAACATGACGGTGCGCAGCTGCTCGTGGTGGCGCCGGAAGCGCCGCATGTGCTCCATGCGCGCCTGCAGCCGCTTGTGCGACGGCGACACGCGCCACACCATCTTGAGGTGCTCGTCGCGCTTCTTCTTCACTATGTCTCTGGAATTGGCGGTCGGAAATGAAATACTCTTATTTATGTCAAAGTTTGTGGATGTATTTGTGCCTGTGTGTATGTAATATTTACAATGTGAGTGTAAAGGACTGCACAGACTTATTAGAATATGACCTGGAGTGATACATAGGATACTATTAGTAATAAAATATGCCAAAAGGTGGCGCTGATTGGCGACTCAAAATAATATACTAGAAAGATGAAATGCTAACTTAATGTGCACAAGTGCAGTTGTTTTTTCTGATCAGTTCAAACACTAAAAGTACTAATTTATTATAATGTTTGCATATGGACAACATAAGTTATGCATACTCATTAAATTATACTTCTTACCTCAATAGACCTTGAAGTTTTTCATATTCATCATCCCAGCATGAAAATACTTCGAAGCACTGCGTCATTACACGTTCGAAATCCTCGAAAGGAATGTGCATGAGACGGCGAGTGCCCAGTACCTATGTTTGGATTTGATAGAAGATTTAAGCTAAATGTTAGAAATTACGATTGTAATGCATGTTTACATATACCTTTTAATTTCTGAAGTTAAAAATATTATTGAATATTTAAATTTTAAACATAAGTAAGAAAAATACTGAAAAGTTTAAAATATTAAAATTTGTACCTTCAGCAGTTGTTGACCCAAGTCACGAGAAATAGCTTCCACTAGACGCAGACCACGCTGGATTGGATATTTGGTTGATCGGATTTTACGGAGATGTGAGAATATTTGCTGCACCGCCAACCTAATAATGTATAATATTAGCTACTTTTGCTCACTTAGTAGAAATAGAACACAAAATACTTATTTAGTATTCTATTTACTAAAAAAAACAATTTCTTCAATAACCTATAAATCAATAACTAATTAATGGTGCCCCATCGATTATTTCTTGCTTTTATGGCTTACTTTATTGGCACTAAATCAATATCTTGGATATAGAGTTTGGGGACAAAAATCTTGTATGGATATTAATATAAATATAATACATTATAATACATTATAATTACAATATAAATACATTACCTAATCCTTTCCAGCTCAGTGGCACTAAGCAGGTCATTTATAGGGAAGTCCTTCATAAGAGGGTTGTAGTCGGAGACAGTGGCAAGTGCTTGTTTAAGACCTGTATCAGTATCAAATGACACAGTTGCATGGAATCTTTTGCCATATTTTAGAATATCCAGAGTTAAGGCAACCTGTCACAACAGAAAAAAAAAATAAAGTAAAAAAAAAGTATAAATGCACAACTGTCAATTAATGAAAAATGGCAAAGAAGACCCCATGCCTGTACATGAAACATCGGAAATCGTAAATTAATGATAATACCTCAATGCTCTCTCTTTTCTCTTGAATACGATGGAGAGCCCTTTCGAGATTCAACCAGAAGGATATTTCTTGCAGTGCTGTACCGTTTGACGGATCACGGTCTAATTTGGTAACCTAAAATATATAAGTATAGGTAAATAAATTTCATGAACAAATAAAATTATACAGTAAATTGTAATTTGGCAAAAAATATTTTAAAAAATTATGGCACATAAGTTGTATTGCTATCTAGTAGTCTGCATCACTAGGGTATGGTTTAATAGACTTTTATGAGATTAATTAAAGCAAAAATCAATTTGTTTATAAAAAAAATAATATAACTAAGGTATAATTTTAATCAGTCTAGTTTCTTACTCACTGGCGGTTTTCCCATACAGAGTGAGATTATGACATAATAATATACTGTTTTTATATCTCAACACACAGACTTTAAAGAAGCATATGGGCTTGTCTGATGGTAAACACTAACCAAGTTAAAAGTATCACTTACATACCACCACATAAAGGTAATAATATGGAGAGGGAGAAAGAGAATAGGGGTAGTTGTGCTCTAGTTGCTCTGCCTTACAAACAGAGAAGTACAATAAACATTGGGTACTGCCATTCAACATAGAATATTTTAGCTTTCCTTAAACTTACAAATTCATTCATTCCTTCTAATACCACTAAGGCATTGCTTGTGGGCTAAATAAAAAACACACATGAGCAAAGCAGCTTAATACGTTTAAATATCACATACCTTTTGAATTTCTTTGATCCAACGATTTACGCCATTTTGAAGTTGGTTAAGGAATGTTGAATCTTCTACTTTATCACCAAAATCTGCTACACGAGGTTTTCGACCTTCATCAGCAGCTCTAAGAAAATAAAATTGTTTTACTTTACTTTAACAGTTTCAGATTTTTAAATATTAAAAAAAATACATAAGAATAAGTGGTAATCACTGTTGCTTGTTGTCATCTTAATTATATTCAGATTAATTAACAGAAAACTAAGAATTTTTAAAAGCTAGATTTAACTAACCTTTTAATAACAGCAGCAACTAATTGATGTACAGGTAATGTTATTTCAGGAATATCAATATTTTGTTGTAGATGCAATAAACCCATTTCAAGCTCTGCAATTTTCTTCTCAACTGATGGTGCCATTTTATCTCCATCTCTATACATATAAAAAATATGATACATAGAAAAAGAATAATTATATAAAGAAAACATCCAAGTGTAACATTAAATTTGCAATATTATCACCACTGAACTTAATGTAAAAGCTAAAATAATTTTGTTTCTAGCATGTAATTTTCCTTAATTAAAGTTAAGGTTCATGTTCTACCATTAAAAAATATTTTTTGTCCATATAATAACAAACTGTTTGTTTAGCAATAAGGTTTGCTCACTAAATAAGAACATACTTTAATATAACATCAGTAAAAAAAAATTAAGCAAACTGACCTATCAGCTCTACCACTCTCCTTAACATAACTCTTGAAGAATGGAGCCATGGTCTTGCTAATGAAAGCATGGAGAGTCTCATAAGGTGAGCCATCGGACAAGTTAATAAGGCGCAACTGACTGTGGATTGATTTGTCAGCTTCAATCACTATGCCTCGCTTGATGCAGACAAAGGCAGCTACTCTGGGCGATGTGAAGTGCACCTATACATAGTCACAAAATATATATATAAGAGAAAAATAGAATACAGATAAATTTAAAAAATATATATATATTATTCAAAATTACAAAAAGAATTGATATTATTTCTAAAGATCCAGTAATATTAGATCTTGTATGTTTTTAAAAAACTAGTAAATATTAACCTCATTGCTAATTTGATAGGAAACTGCTTCTTTCTCTTCTTCACCTTCAGTAGGCTGCTCGCTGTCGTCTTCTATTTAAATAATTTAATATTTTAGAAAAAAAATTATTAATCCACAATTCAAATTTTCATTTACATTAAATTTTTTAGTAATTATCTAAATCTTATTCGATTCAAACTTTTGGATTTTCATATTAAAATTTGCAACAAAATGAAACAAATGAAAGTACAGATGAAGAATTTTATTGATTTGATATTCAATTCAATTATTAATAATTTAATGGCTTCTATTGATCCAATAATATTTGATTTGATATACAAATGAGTAATCAATAGAAGGTAGGCGATAATTAGCATAATGCGTCAATGCAGAGGGGATAGACATCTGAAATTATGAATGCGTTTATTCATAATAACTTACCTTTTAACGAAAATCGCTGGATGTATAGTGATGATACTTGTGGATCAGAAATGAACTTTTTAATGCAATCTTGATTTACTTTATCATCAAGTGCCGCAGTAAGTGTTGGTGGAACGATGTCATCCTCCGGCAAAAGTACCGTTGCAGCACGACGCAAGTAATTTGCAAAATCTTGAAAATCAACTACTACGATGTTTTGAGCTTCAGGAGTGTTTTCACTCCCATCAAGGGAGTCTCCCATGTTGTTTTGGGATAATGAACACTGTCTTATAGATTCGAAATTAATTTTTATGCGGCTACAAGTTACAGCTCGTCGCAGCCGCAAAGAATATATTTGACAGATGGATTGATTGAAACTTGAAAGGCAGGGCAGCAGCTGGCATTTGATGACGCATTTAAAGTATTGCCACATCAAATAATATCTTTTTTTAATGGAATTAATGCACTATCAACACCACAGAAGAAAAAAAAAACGTTTTTTCTCTGTCGTGGTCAACAGAGTTGTTTTATAAAATATATTATAACAAAATATTTTTATTTTAATAGAATAAATAAATATTAGATTTACAGAATACAGAAGTATAAAATCGATCTGCCATGGAATTAGGTTAAACAAAAATTTTATGATCTTATACCTACCAGTAATAAAATTATATAATGTACAGAATTTATAATGTTTTTCTGTTAACTAATTTTTTTTAATAGGCCGGAGTTCGGATGTACGGTATATGACCTCTGACCTTCGGAGAGCACGTAAAGCCGTAGACATACGACATAACAGGAATAAAGAATGCACTGCGTGCACTATAATATTTTCTGCGCAGTTGGCTAGTCTCAGCGAAATAGCGAACCCGCCGTGGTCGAAATCGATTAGGATGTCATTATTATTATAGATAACGAAACGTGAAGTGTAGTTGTAAAAAGACGGTTTACTATATTACAAAAGTCTTAAAAATATGATTATTTTAAAACAGCTTTTATAGCCTACCCATCCAAACAAACATCTCTTAATATAGTGTAATATACACATTTGATAGTAGCGTGTTTGTTATTTATGCTACTACTAGCGACTCACCCTCGCTTCGCTCGGGTTCGTCCCTAGCTTGATTCCCCATGCAAACTTTCATCCCTATTTTCACATCCTCAAGGTATGATTATCGGGACAAAAAGTATCCTATGTTCTTCCCATGGTCTCAAACTAGCTTCTTACCAAATTTCATCTAAAACGGTTCAGTAGATCCAGAGATTACCCCCTACAACCTCACAAACTCACAAACTTACAAACTTTACCTCTTTTTAATATTAGTACAGATTCTCGATTTTGTTATACATATCGTATACTTTCTTCAAAGAACAAGGAAAATGCTAGGTAATAGTCGTTAATTTTCAATTTTTGAGAAAAATTATGTCCATAACTTGTACTGTTTGTTAGTTGGTATGTTTGTATGGGTCAAATCTTGCAAGCTGAATTAGAACCACTTCCTCTTATAGATTTGAAATTTTACATGTTGGTTCGGTTCCGATGACAGTGTTTTTTTGATAATTATGACTTTATTCTAAATCTAGGATTGGCGAAATAAGAGACGGAACAACTCATCAACGGTTAAAAATTCATAGACAATTTTTTTATAAGCATTCAATTATGATAGCCCATTCTAAAGTCCACCATGACTTAGTGATTGTGTCCTGAGTTGGCTCCTAATGAGAAACCTCTTCAGCGGTCAACAGCGCAGATACGACATTTTGAAAGAATGATCACGATCCGATATCTAGTTTAGGAGAAATGTGTGGACATACATACATCTATAAAATTTTGTATATTTGTTTGGAAGCCCTAATAGATTTTCATAAGTGAATATTTTGCAGTTCCAATAATACACAATAATTACACATATTATATGTGTCGAATTGATAACTTCCTTTTTCGAATTCGATTAAAACCCATTTCTTTAGTTTATTTGTTTTAGAAAGTTTCAGCTGATTATTTTTTAAAATTTTAATAATTGAAATTATTAAAATTTTTAAGAAAATTATTTTTCCCTTTAATGTAAAAAACGGATCTAGTGTCACATCCAGTGAATGCATGAATGATGATTTTTCAACCGACTCCAAAAAGGAGGAGGTTCTCAATTCGACCATACAAATATACAGGGTGGTCCAAGAAGTGACGTCATATTATTTTTTTTAGATTCCTCGCTTCTGGGTGCATCCGAAAATACCCCATGTATGTTCCGCGATTGTTCGTAGTTTAGAAGTTATGATTTTTTTAATGTGTATTTGCGAATTTTCTACCGGAGCAAATATTAAGGTGTTATTTTTAATTAGTGGTATAATTGTGAAGATCAAGCTACGTGGCAGCGTGTCCAGCTTTTTTACATACAAGTTATCTTATATTCGGCTAACTACTTATATTTTCTTTATGCTATACGCAAGTTACTGTTTTTATATTGTAAGACCAACATGTCTCACTCTTCTAAAAACTGGCTTTACTGGTAAAAACTAGTCAAGTCAAATCTTTAACTTCAATTTATCCTAAGTCATCTACTCTGTGTAAATAATTGACTGTTCAAATTTAAAAACTTCATTTTTTAAATAGCAAACACTTTTGTAGCAGAAAAAAAACAAGTTTTGTAACAGAAATTGTGTTTTAAATTTATCTTAGAATGTTGTGTGTTGTTATGAAAAAAAAAACAGGATTATCTACACCACCACCCATTTACATATCAATGCTTTTATCGGTGAAGTTGACAACCACGCATATTCTAAATATTGAACTTGGCTCCCATTTTCACATTTATGTTTTTGCTGGGATTACTTCTTCTCAAAAATTATAAACGTTGAAAAATTAGATTTATATATAATAGCAATATACATAAGGTCAATAAATATGTATGATAGGTAGAAATATGTAAGGCATATATATTTCTTGACCTACGTAGCGAAATGTAAATATTAAATTTTGACTATAAACTTTATTTTAAGAACTATTCTTTAAACTAAAATTAATTAACTCCCGACGCAAAAGAGGGGTGTTATAATTTTAACGTGTGTATTTGTGTGTCTGTCTATGGCATCGTAGCTCCCAAACGGATGAGCCGGTTTTAGTTTGTTTTTTTTTTTATTGAAAGGTGACTTAATCAAGAGTGTTCTAACTGTAGATCAAGAAAACCTGTTCAGCCATTTGCAGAGTAGACTGTAAAAAGGTATGAGCTTCCAGAGATCTGCAGCGTCACCTGGAATCTGCAAGGTACACAACTCTTTATTAAAATACTGCAGAGATACGAGTATCATGATTAGGCTCATTGAAATGACCTCAATGGATGGGTTATTGTGGTGAGAATTGTTTAAATTTTAAATTTAATTTCTTGTATATTATATAAAAATTAAAAAGAGCTTTATCGAACAAAAAACCACGATAATTGTTTTATTTTTATATACATTTTATACATAATGTTTTAACAATATTAATAATTATGTATCGGCTTCAAAGTGATTCTGATTTTAAATAATTAAAAAAATATATTTTACAAAAAAATCATCAAAATCCGAGCTGTTCTTAAGTTAAGGACTTTCGAGGAAAAGATTTCTTTGACGAGATTATATGAACGACACTCTGTCTATTTTATTCCTTAATTTGAGATAAAAAATAAATTATAAAAAAAAAACGGCTGAGTAAAACGCGTATTAAAAACAAGGTAATATATATATATATATATATATATATATATATATATATATATATATAGTGTATTCCGATTGCATAATACTATTTTCTTTCGTTAACTTGTTACCTCTTTTTTGGTTTGCATTTTACTCAGTCGGTTTTTTAACATATCTATTTTACATTTTAAAAGGTCATTTGGTTTTTATATGTTAGAACAATCAAAATAACCACTCTAGTAACATTTCTTTAAAAGCTCTTAAATCCTCTTTTCTGTTTAACGGTATTTTCAATCAGGTCCCCTTCCGTTACTACGATTTATCCATCACAGTCGACAAAAAATCTGCCTATATCAGCCTATAATGCCTCATAAGTTTTTCAATCTATTTGAAACTCTAATGATGAACATATAAGATAGATTTTTGAAACAAAACAATTTTGGTTGTAGAAGGTGAATATCACAGCGCAGACTATAAAGGCAGTGATTCGAGGAGCGTTTCGTCAGTTTACAAGCCCGCTGTAATAAGATATCGGACGCTCTATCACCCTGGAAAATGTCTTTATTATGCTTGCTGAAACAAAGCTATTTTTGAGACTTTATTTGTTGCGTTTTACTAAATGTATGTTTCTAATTGGGCAGACAGAACTAGGTCAGAGTGCCAGACGAATGACAATGTATTTATTCTGTTGTTGTAAATTGATTTTTATTAGAAGTAGGTAGGTATTACCTACATAATATATATATATATATATATATATATATATATATATATATATATATATATATATATATATATATATATATATATATATATATCTCACTATCAGATCATTTAAATGTTAAATGACAGGTAAGATTATAAGATAATTTAAAAAAAAATTGCCCCATCAGTTTTATATATAATCAACTAGAAAAGAATATACTTAATATGAGATGGGTGTAAAGGATTTAGCATTTGTTTTTTTCACTTTTTAATATTGCCCAAAGTTTCAACGGAGTTTCTATAATATTGCTGCTGGCCCTTTAGCTTTATACAATTATATATTCTGTGACCTTTAAAAAGTATTAAGCAATATCCTTCATTTGTTTCAATTTGTTTTAAAATACAAACACAATGAAACTTTGTATTTTAATACAAACTTAAAAAATACTTTTACCTTTAAAACAAATTGGATATCTATACATATAATAAAATTGTAACTAATCCGAATCTGAACCTTCTTCTATTCATGTAATTATATCTATATCAATTTTGAAAAATGATGATGTATGTATTGTATGTGTATTCAGCCCTTTTTAACGTCGCATTGCTAATTACGGGTCTCCCAATGCGAGGGGAATCATGCCATAGTCCACCACGCTGGCCAAGTGCGGGTTGGCGGACTTCACATGTCTTTCGAAAACTTGCTAGGTTCTCTCAGCCAGCAGGTTTCCTCACGATGTCTCCTTCGTCGTAAAACAAGTGGAACTCATATTGGAAATGATTCACACATGAAAATATCAAGGTGCGAGAGCCGAGATTTGAACTCGTTTCTCTCGGTTTCCCAAACGAGCGTGTTACCACTGGGTTACTACTGCC